AAACTTTCCTATATTCTCAATCATAAAAAAGATCTCAAAATAAGAGTAATTGATTTTTACAATCATCTAAAAACTTTGGTTCTACTACAATGTAAGAAAAAATATACCAGATATTATTTTGAACATAGGAAATAAGATATAAATTAATGATAAATAATCATTTTAATTTAAATGAGATAATAATTTATTGAATAAGAATAATTATTATTTTTTCTTTTTTCTTTTCTATAAGAATAACGGAATAAGAAAAATGATGAAAAGAATATTTTTCTCATCAACATTTGGAATGAAATTTCTCGCACGTATTCTGCGTGCAAATAAAAGAGTTAAGAGTATCCCTTAGGGAAAAGATTACGCATTCGATGAAATCAAATAAAACTTTAAGGGGTTATCATATATCCGTGTATCCCACGTTCGTCATTTGCAAACCGGAAAAGAATAATGTAAAACGTAACTAGGCCAAATAAAATTCGGAACTTTTTTTTCTTTGTGGTTCGTGGATAGCCAATGTGACTATGAAAAATATTCTCGGCAATTCGATTTGAGTTAGACGCGTACGTGCTTATCGCTTGTACTTCGAAGAAATGTCTCTGAAATCTCTTTTGTGTATTCGTTTCTAAAAAGTTTAACGAATAAGAAGAACATACTCGTTATCTCAGTACTGTAGCTGAAACAATTTGAATAATTTCATATTCCTATATTTTACAACCTAGTCGAATATACGTGCCATATCTAAGTATACTTATATTAAAATATTTTAGGTGAATATTCGTAGAAAAAGAAACAATCTATTTAAAAATAGAAATATAATTAAATATTATTACTATTATTATTACTATTACTATTATTTTTATTATAATAAAAGATAGAATATTAATGTGTTATGTACAAAAATAATAATAAACTAAAATTAGTATTTTATTAAAATAAATTAAGTATTTTATTTCTTTATATAATAACTTTATTATTTTATTTATAAATAATAAAATATCGATCGAATAATTGAATTGAAATATTCCTAGTGAAAAGAAAATAATCTCATAATCTTATAAATATCGTAAGACATAAAGCATCGTTAAAGCTATTCATTTTGTTGGTAAGTTTAGAAGGAGAACGAAGTCACACGATACCACTTGCGATTCTTTCGAAGCAACACCTTAACGATGGTTATTTTTATACTGTCATAATCTCGGATAACAAGTTCTCAGAACTGACCCAGGGCCGTCGGTATATTTCAATGTCGAGGCTAGGCAAAGCCCGTTCTCCCTTGGGACTTTATATCAGCTTCCTGGACAAGTTACCCTTTCCCCTTTCCCCTACTCTACTAAACCAAACACACCACAACCAAATATCTATTCACACGAGATTCCAACGTGTATATGTACATACATAGGTAAGACTCAAACATTGGTTGAGATTATGACGTTTCTTTATTTATCGCACTAGACGTGTTATATACGACACGCTTGGGAATTTATCCTAGAAAACGAGATTCTAGGCTTTACTCTTTTTGACTATCTTTTTCCATCTCTTTCTTCTTCTTATTTTCGGTGTTACATTATGTCATATCATGTACCATAAATATTGATATTATCACATAAATGCATTTCTTTCTGTATATTTGTTTATAAAAAATAAAAATACTTATCTAAATTAACTATTAAATTCTTTTACATTAAATGTAAGTATATATATTTTCGTATATTTTAATTAAATATTACTAATTATGTGTTACAAAGGATAAATAAATTATAGAAGATTGAATTTAATTCGTTCAAGTTTCAATATTAGTCAAATAAAAGGCAATGTAGGAAAACAGATGTTAAACATCACGATAAAGATATAACGCATATAAATGAGCGGTAAACGTGTGAGGTAACATAACGACAAATTCGGCAGTATACGCACAAGGTAATTACATTTGTTTGTACATAGCTCTGCTTTAATAGTGTCCCTTGGCAGATCATTGAAACTTCGAAAATCACGTGAGTGAGTACCTCCGTGTATGCCTTTGCAAACTCTGGGATTAGCGAATTTTCCATGATGAACGTGGAATACCAAAGGACGACCAATAATCGATAGAGATAGATCGATAGGCTTACGAGTCGAAAGAGGAGAGAGAGGAAATGAGGGAGAAGGACAGAGAGAGAGAGAGAAAGGTAGGTGTAAGTTAAATTTGCAGAGGGTCACTTTGGTACATTGCGTTCAATGAAGCAAACAGGAAAATGCATTTGTGTGCAGGATAGTTAGCTAGTTCTTGATATCGCATATTTCGAGAAATTTCAACGTTCTATATATATACATCTTCCTTTCTCTCTCTATTTCTCACTCTCTATCACCCACTACTACATTTGGACATTTTCCAAAAAGAGTAACGGAAACTACATACATATACGTTATATTACGTAGCATAATAAATTCATTTGATTGGTATAATAAGGAAAATAATATTATTGTTATAAGAATAAATCAAGGATGAAACCAAAAATATTTAATATTCATTTATATAAAATATATGAGTATAAGATTATTATTAAACTAAATTATTATCAAATATAAATCAACTAGTTTGTGGCAAAATCATGCGATATCGAATGAAGTGATTATAATGCATATTTAACGTGATATAACAAATCAATATGTTTTTGAAAAATATTGAAATGATATCATTGATGCTGGCAAATTGAATATTTCTGGTAATAATAGTGTATAGATATATTTTGTATAACGGACGGACAGGCTTATCTCTGGAGCAAATGTATGCCGCGATCAATTCTCCCCCTTCGTACATAATCATGGTCAATTGAGTTTATCTAGGTAAGATAATTAACATGGAACCACAGTCGACAGTAAGATCAACGATGTAAGACCAACAAACGTGAGCTCACATTGAAACACAGAACGCATAATCATCGTCAAACTTCGAGTATACTTTATCGAGTTTATACAACAGTTCACCGTATCTTTCACCATGCGTCTCTCGATGATAAGATGATTTTACGGATTTTCTCTTGTTAGCAGTTAGCAAACGAAAGGGCTGTATCTCATAACGTTGTGTTTGTAGAAAGTTCTTCCTTGTGTTCCTTACTTGCCACAAAGTACACTTTCCTCATCGGATATACTTCACCCCATCGTGAACCCTCCAAAATACTTGCCTTCTTTTTATTCAGTAGTATACATTGAAGGCTTGATTTATTCAGATTTCGAAAATCGATAAAATTATCTTCTTCGATAAATTTTAATGACGATCGAATAATGTAGATATATAATAGATATTTAGATTTTATAGATTTATTTAATCTATATATACTAAATAAATATATTATTATTTACTTCATATATAAAATTATAAATTATTATATATACATTTGTATAGTCGTTATATTTTATATTTATTGTTTACATATTACTTGAAATAATATATACATATAATTATATACGATTATATCGTTATTAAAATAACATATCTATTTTAATATTATTGATTTTTCAAACCACGTGATATAAATCACAAATGAAAAGATATAATTGATAGATAATTAAATACATTATAATCATATATAATGCAAATATCATGTTTTCAATAAATAATACCAATTAATACGCACAAAATGTCATTAATTCGTTATGCGGAATTAAGAATACTTTTGAACAATCGTAATAACCGCGATTAACTAGAATTTATTAAATTCATTAATTAAGCGCGTATTTTGATCAGGATATTCATATATAATTATCATTTGAAATCCTGAACACGTAACAAACAGTAATTGGCCATCTGATATATTGGTTGGAGGAAATTTTATTAAGTATCAGCATTTCATTCAGCCAACATTTGAACATGCATAACACGATCGAGTATGTCATCGACTTTTTTTTCCGTTTTGCGAAAATCGATATACATTCATCTACTCGTTTGTGTGAGAAAGTTAGGTAAAGAGAGAGAGAGAGAGAGAGAGAGAGAGAGAGAGAGAGAGAGAGAGGAGAGAAACAATGCCTTTTGATCGAAGCTTCTAATTCCAAACCAACTCGTTGAAAATTGATCGACACTTATTACATGCGTCAAGTGAATCTATTTGAATTTAATCAATGTGAAAACAGAGCTTATACGAACGAATCTTATTAAAAAAAAAAAGAAAAACAAAAAAATGCAAAAATTATTAGGTCATTAAATATGAAATGATTCATTTCATAACGTGAATTCTTTGAAATATTTTTCTAGCTAAATGTAAATTTCATGTTTTTCTGCATATGTTTTTAAGCTGATATTTACATGGCTTACGTTTCAACATAAATCAATGACATTCTGGAATATTGTTTTTATACTGTTGAAAATGTGATCATAATGCCGTAATAATTGATCGGAAAATTTACGATGCTTTAAATGAAAATATTGTTAATGAGTGTGCGATTTATTAATAATATGAAAAATGTAAAAATAAAGATAGAAATCATTTGGGAATAATCTTAAAGAATTGTCGATAGTATCCAATGTATAAACGTTTTATACAAAAGTTTGGCTAAACTAGTTTATATTCTCTTCAAACTCAATTATGCCAAACGAATACAATACAATGGAATGCAATATTGCTATCGAAGATCGAAACTTCAACCGGTAGAATAAAAAGAAGTCAAACGTGCTTGTTTCCTTGCTACGTCTAACCCCCTACAAATTCACCCACGAATTTTATCTCTCCACTTTGTTCTTTCCCCCAAACAACAGGAAACTTACTTTTTCTATATTCTAAAAAACCTTTCGCAATATCTATAGAAGTTTTTCACGATGTAATTTATTTAATAACACAAACGTACCGAATTTTATCTGACAATGAAGATTTGTTACATAAAATAATTTATTATGTTAAATTATATAAAAATAATAGATATAAAAGAAAGTAACTAATAATTAACGAGTGTTCCATTTTCATATACAATCGCAATATTTAAATAAATAATATACGCAAAAAAATGTATTTCTTTGATAGAAAACTTGGACTTACCTTGGCCAACTGCAATTACTTCAATGAAGATCAAAAAACCAGAGAGCAACGGAACGGTGAGCCAACGACACACCATTTTCCACACTTTCTCATTACCCGAATCACCTATGATAACACCTTTAACGTTGTCCACCGTCACCAATAAAATGGCACCAATTTTGGTTCGTCAGATTTAAAGTTGCCTTCGAGTTAGATCACAGTATCCTGATAAATACTCTTAGCAATTTAAAAACTTCACAATCTTGATCTCACTCACTCGTACCTCTGTTTATTTCCACTCTCATCCTATAATCTCGTTCAAGAGAATATCACCATCATCAAAGTGTACCAATCACTCGTGTTTCGAACTTTATCACCCTTCTCTTTGCGAAACGATCGACGATAAAAATTGTTAAAGTACCGGACTAGACTTTCCCTTTTTTTCTTCGTCGTTAAAAAACGAGATAGTCTTAAAATTATCTCGAACAAGAAGAAAACTTTTCGATTACATTTCGAGTAATATTTCTTTACCTTACACAATTCCCTTTTTTTCCGTGGGAAGAAATAAAACTGGCGCGTTATAAATATCACGTTCAAATCAACGACGTCGACGAAAAGCGATAAAAATGGCTACGAGATCGAAGGTGAACCAATCGAGGACCAATCAATCAACACTTCTTCGATGATTGGTTGACTAAAGTATCCGAAAAGAATTTCTGCACCAATGTTTGTTCCTCTCTCAACATCCGTTGACAAATGACGATCGTGACCTAATAAAGGATTCGTACGTTTTATATTTTTACAAAAAAACTTGAAGAAAAATCATCATTATTGGTAAAAAACAAAACGTAGATACAAATCGCCGATCTTTCTCGTCTCGTTCTCGCGCGTGATTGACTCCGTTAGAGTCGCGCGTTTTGCGACTCGCGCTTGAAGACTCGCGCGTCATCCTTGTTCAACCCTTCTCTTAATAATATCAAATAATTAATCTTTTATACTTTTTCTTACTTTTATTCTTTTCTTTATTTTTTATTTTAAACTTAACGATACACTTCTACACCCGTTTATTATCTCTTCTTTATTTTATTTAATCTTTTCTATCATCTCAATGATTTAAAATGAAGGTTTAGCAACGAACGAAAAATAAAACGAAGACGTTTGTGAAAATAAAAAATAAAAGATAAATGTAATAATAGGTTTGTTTTGTATTCGTCTATAGTTTTACTCTTGTTTTTATTTTTATTTCTCTCTTTTTCTTTTTCCTTTTCGTACGCGTCTATAATTCTTCTTAACAACGGCGTCGTCGTCTCGCGGGACGACGTCGAACGCACATGGACTTCTCACCGCGACGACCAACTCGAGTGGTGGTGGTGCCGCTCGGTGTTCGCGGCGCGGAATGATCCTGCGGACTTGCGTCCAGCTTCCGTCGGGACGCCTGCGCCATGTAGTTGCTGCGTTCGCGCCGGATAGAAGAACACCATTATCGTCCCGTCCCATTTTACCACGCGCACTCTTCTAACATCTTACACGATCTCTCTTCTCTTTCCTAATATCTCTATACTGATATTTGATACGATTTAATCGACTTCCCATTTCACTTTCCTTGTGTTTTATTACATCTTTTCTTAACTTGTTTCTTCTAGCAAGTCGAACATTTTATATATCATCTTTCTTTTTTTTTTTTTTTTTAACAACAGATAAAATTAAATTAAAAGTTTTTTTTTCATCGAATTTTATCAATAAAAATCATTATAATTATCATTAAAAAGACCTATACTTCATACAGCAAACTTGTCATATAGGCAACAACAAAATTTAATATAAACTTTTTTCCAGCACATTCAATTATAACCAAATATATATATATATATTAATAAATTTTTATAAATAATTATATTATTATTATAAGAAAAAGGGTTTTATAAAATGAAATGTAAATTATATGAATTAATCTATACAAAATTTGAAATTGAGTTTTTATTTTTTAAATGCTTCTAATTATCAACGGATCAGAAGTAATCGATCGATTTGTACTTTGAAGTTCTTGTAATAATTCCTAGATGGAATAGTCAGTCACTGTGTATGTGATTGGAAATATTATCGTCTGAGGGCGTTATCGTCACCGACAAAAGCGCTCAATGTATATCAGACATAAGAGAAATCTTTGACTTTCCTACATTGCCTACATGAATTTAGCTCCCCTAGTGAGCATACATGAGGCATTGTACAAAAACTATATATTAAAAAGTGAAATGAAGTATTTTCTTATAAAAACTTAAGGCTATTACATGAGGAAACACAACGTATTGTCTTATAAGATAAAAAAAGATGTAACCTAAACGTTTAAGACTAGTGGTGACCTGATTAGAGTGGTCCACTGTTTTGACGCATACAGAAATGGCGGATAATATATTTGTCATACATTTAATCTTCTTGTTGACATTCAGCTTATGTTCAGGTATGAGGTTATTTTCAATAATATTTATTTCAGTTTCTTATCTTTTAACGTACTTTCTTTTATCTACATATTTTAATACAATAATTAAAATATTTATATTATTTTGTTTATAAGGTACTTGACTATGAAATATTAAATGTTAAAAGAACTAAGTTTTGTAAAGCAACATTTCTTTAACAAGAGTATTAGTTAGAAAGTTTTTGTTAAAACTAACTGATAACTAATATAAATATTATTAATGAATAGGACAAAAGACAGCTTTAATGGACGACGGTCCTCTACTTGACAGTAGAGAAGCATCTGAATCTCATGAACCTGTAGGAATTAATTTTGGAATTAATCCTATCAATCAGCGTCGTTTTAAATGTCTTACTTGCGATGAACCAGACTGTGCTCAGACCGAAATCTGTGATGATGCCATTACAGTAATACTTCTTTGTTATTACATAAATATAAACAAAATATATAATATACTTCGTTTGAAGTATTTTTACATATATTATATTAGGGATACCGAAAAGTAATCAAAATTTCTTCGATGAGTACACTCACATTTAATTTGTGTCAATGAAAAATCGAAGAACTTTTTAAAAAGGGAATTGAACAATTTCCTTTATGTAAAGCAAAAAGTATTAGAAAATGATGACAAAATTTTTTGTTGATTAGCATTTACAATTTCTTTAATAAATAAATGTTTTTTGCCAGCAAAGAAAAATTTTGATTACTTTTCTGTCCCCCTAATATATATGTATTTTTATATATTAGTGTATGAAATCTAAAATAAGAGATACAGATGGAAAGGAAAGGATTAGCAGAGGATGCGTCGATGATGTAGATAAAATGCAATTTACTTGTAACAAACAACAATCTTCTAAAGAAGTAAAAAATGACAATGGCATAAAAAAGCATGTCAGCAGATCGGCTGGACGTGCACATATTTTTGTTGTGTGTTGCCAAGGTGATTTCTGTAACAATGGTTCTTTTCCTATATTGGAAGATTATGTGGATGGTAAGATATCTATATTATCGTTTGATTAAGTTCAATTGCAGAATCTACATTTATTATGTGTTATTAAACTATAGATGGAGAATTAGAATCGGACTATGTATTTAAATTGACATTGGCTATATTAGCGCCTATACTAGGAGTAGGGATTATTGTCGGAGGTGTTCTTTTCTGCGTGATAGCTCGTAAAACTCGTAGAAAACGTCCCTTGGCTTCGAGGCACAAAAGGTTAATTATAGATCCGGAACTTGAACCGTCCATGTTACACTTTTCTTCTCCTTCATCTGTATCTAGTACAACTTATCATGCACATGAATTGCAAGCAACTGCAGCGGGTGATAGTACTCTTAAGGTATGTGTTATATAGTTTAACATGTATTAAAATCAATATTAAAATTTTTTGTTATACATCATTTTATTAAAGGTATCGTTTGTAATCATATAGGAATATTTGGATGGACGAAGTCTCACCAGTGGGTCTGGTTCAGGATTACCGTTATTGGTACAACGCACACTTGCTAAACAAGTAGCATTAGTCGAATGTCTTGGTAGTGGAGGTAATGGAGGATTTGGAGGTGAAGTCTGGAGAGGTATTTGGCATGGTGAAAATGTGGCTGTGAAAATTTACTTTTCACGAGACGAGGCTGCATGGGCTAGAGAAACGGAAGTCTATTCTCAATTATTACCATCCAGACATGACAATATTTTAGGATATGTTGGAAGCGATATGACAAGTAGAGCTAGCTGTACTCAGTTATGGCTAGTAACACATTATCATCCACTTGGTTCGCTTTACGATCATTTAAGTCATTCGCCACATCCATTAACGCATCATCAAACCTTGAATATTACGTTGAGCATAGCAAATGGTTTACTTTATTTACATACGGAAATTCATGGAACTAGAGGAAAACCGGCGATGTCCCATCGTAATCTTAAATCTAAAAATATTCTTGTTAAAACAAACGGCGGCTGTGTTATTGCGGACTTTGCATTAGCTGTAACTCAGGATCGACTTACTACAGACAGAGTGGATTTAAAACAAGGCTCTAAACGTTACATGAGTCCTGAAGTTTTGGAACAAACGTAAGTTATTACGTGAAATATACAGTATAAACGTTTATGTGTGTGAGCAAAATCTTAACTTCAAGTTCCCGATTTCAGAATAAATGTAGAATGTTTAGAAAGCTTCAGATGTGCAGATATCTATAGTTTGGGCCTTATATTGTGGGAAGTTTGTCGTAGATGTATAAGTAACGGAGTTGCTTTGGAATATGCTGCCCCTTATTCCGAATGGCTCTCGTACAGTAATCAAGAACCCAGTATAGAAGAAATGCATAAATTGGTCTGCCTTGATCAACGTAGACCACCCTTACCAAACCGATGGCATTACGATGCAGTAAATACGATTATTTTCATTATATTCATTATATTTAATTAATTTTATTTTATTTCTTTCTTTCACAATATATAATGGACAAATATTTTTCAGACATTATCAGGAATGGGAAAACTAATGAGAGAATGTTGGCATAATAAGCCTGCTGCACGCTTACCTATTCTTCGAGTGAAAAAAACACTCATCAAATTAGCGGCTGCCGATTCTCGCGTTCATTTACCTCTCGACTGACCATTGTTTATTCGATCATATTCTATTTCTTATATATATATTTATTTTTACTATTATCATCATCATTATCATTATACCATCATATTATCACACGCACTGTAAAATCAGTCATCCTCGTTGTTGGATCATAAATTATCGAAATATCATGGAAGGGTAAAAAAAATATCGTTTATTGACATATCGTGAAAAAACATTAACGTTTTCATTCAGTCTCAATTCTCTAATACGTTTGATCATATTCAGTGCATTATACTTGAGTATTTAACTCAAGTCAGCATGAATTTTTATACACTAAACTCGATTAAATTGTATAAATGTACAAATTTTAACATTTCCATAAAACGCGTTGATGTGTTACATTTATAGAAATGATTAACAAACAAAAAGTAAGAAGAAGAAAGAAAATATATATGTTACCAGAGTTAGAAGCCTAATTTCTCGATTACATTTGATTTAGATTATTTCAATATACATATATTGAATATATATATACACATACATATATCATTTTTACAAATATTATTATTATTTAAATAAGAAGTGTGCACTTAAATTAAGTAATTTTACTATAATCAATTTGTGAATTAATTTTAGTGTAATACTTTTTTTTTGTTCATAATTTTTTGTTTTTATTGCATCTTTTGACATTACAGAAAAGGATATTTTTCTGTGGCTATTACTCATAAAATGGTTATAAATAAGTTAGGCACTGTTTAATTTTTTCCGAATTATTTTAGAGTATAGTGTTCCTTTAACATCATGTCTCGAACGTAGGTCTCGAAAGAGAAGAACTCGAAAGTAATTTTGTATTTGTATTGTATTTTTCGTGCTACGTGGTAGATACCATCTTTGTTAAGATGGTATCACAAAATGAATTTGTAAATATTATCTTTTTAATTTTCACCTATGCCATATCTTTTTTTTTTCTCATTATTGATTTTTCGTTTCTTTTAATAGTATTTACAATATCATTAATTCTAAAATTAATCTTTTATTAAAATATTGTAAATAGAATGTAGACATTAATATCCATATCTGTTATTATTATACAATTAAAGAAAAGGTCATTGAATATCTCTGCCATTGCATGTTATTAATAAAAAAAAAAACTCTTAATTGTGAACGAAAGAGAGAAAGAAAGAGAGAGTGAATGATGCGAGAGAACTCATTTTAGGACCAAAGATATTCTGTATAAAGTTACTAACTTGTGTGTCCATTAAAAACGCATCTCATCAAACAGATATTGTTTGTCTCATAAATTTATTTCTTAACAAAAAATATTTTGAATCATATGTTAGTAGATACAGTATTCTTTCGATATTTAAAATTATCTTATTGGGTCTACAAGTAAGTTTCCAGGGTTTTTAAAATAAAATTTGAGGGTTTATTCTGAAAAATGGTTACATATTTTTCATTCGAAATATTGTCCATCGGAAGATACAATTTTTTCCCATCTTTCTGGCAATTTGTGAATTCCGGACCAAAAAAAGTTCTCGTCTTTTGAGCCCAAGAACGTATTGAGCCAATTTTTGATTCCCTCTACTGAAGTGAAGCGCATTCCGGTAAGAGCGTTCTGCATCGACCGAAACAAATAATGGTAGTTGGATGGCGCCAAATCTGGACTATAAGACGGGTGAGGCAGAATTTCCCATCCACTATTATCCAAGTAGTTTTTGACCGAAGCAGCAACATGTGGCCGAGCGTTATCGTGGTGAAAAATTACGGACTCGTGCCGGGTCTAATATTCTGGCCGTTTTTCCGCCAATGCCCGCTTCAAACGAATTAGTTAGGTTCGATACACTGGTCCTGTGATGGTTTGACCACTCGGAAGCAGTTCGTAGTATATGACATCCTTCTAATCCTACCATATGCAGAGCATGACCTTATTCATGTGAATATTTCGCTTCGGTGTCGATTTGACCGGCTCGCCAAACTTTGCATATGTTTTAGGATTATCATAATAGATCCACTTTACGTCACCAGCGACAATACTATGCAGAAACGACTTTTTTTTATGCCGCTGCAGCAATATTTCTGACATGCAAAACCGCCGTTCGACATTTTTCAGCTTCAACTCGTACGGGACCCAATTTCCAACTTTTTGGATGAATCCCAAAGCTTTCAGGTGCAAGAAATGGCTTGTTGTGTGACGCCCAATGATGCAGCAGGCTCTTCTTGAATTTGACACGGATACTCATCCAGAAAAGCCTCCAATTCCTCATCTTCAAAATTTTTCAGCTTTCCGGAGCACTCCTTGTTGTCTTCAACGTCAAAATCATTACTTTTGAACCGTTTGAAACACCCACGACACGTCGATTCACCAATACATTCCGCCCCGTAAGTTTCCAGAAGAAAACGATAGGCCTCAGCTGCACTTTTCTTCATATTAAAGAATAGAAGCAATGCTTCCCGCAAATGACACTTATTTGGCACATAACTTGCCATGTTTTTGCTTCATAAAATATACGACGCCGATAGAAATGCGCAGATATGATGATGCAATGTTGTTAACAGATACACAAGCTTCGAAAATGTGGGGAACAAGGCCGGTGGAAAAAGGCTATCTAGAGAGTTTGTATAAACTTATGGATTTTACCAACAAGAAATATAAATTTATTATTACGATTTATAAGTACACTTTTGGACACTATACAAAAAACTGCGTCTTCTCGACTGTTCGTTATAATCTCGGCCGTACAAATTCGAACTTAATTGGTATAGTTCCCGTATAGGGAGAAAAAGCGCTAGTGTATAACATCGGTACGCTAGTCGCGTCTCCTACACCGGAATCTACTCGTGACACCATCTATTAAAAAATGCTGGAAACTTACTTGTAGATCCAATAATTTGAATTAAGTTAAAAATAAAAACAAATAAATAAATTTTTCAATATACATTTACATCTTTTTAATTACTTTATCTGATATTATTTGTATTTTGTTAATAAGCAAGAAATATATAAGAATTTCATTTACCTACATAAAAATAGAATACTTTTTTTAAAACAAGTAGATTGTTGTAGTAAAATTAGTACTATAAATCAATGGCTATATGGTTCATTCAAATTTCGTCACGTGGCAGGAAATACACATTTCCATAGTTAAAATAATTCCTATGGTATAAATCTATTATTAGATGTTATATGTAGTTGCAGAAATAGCCGTTAGAGAGCACGATCGACGAAAATACTAATGGACCAATCAAAATGAATTTAGAGAAGCTGTCTCTTTTATCCCATTGGTTAAACTTCCTAAGTTTCTATCTATAAAATATTTTTTACAAATTCAGAGCATGTTTCTCATCTTTCTTATATTACATTCAAGTAACAAAGATCAAATATAACCTTTCCTTTTCACGATTTGCGAGAGAACGGTATGTAATTCAACACGTGTTCATAAATATTATATAAATAAAATAAATCAAATTTATATACTTAAACAAAATATTATATATTTTTAATTATGTTATATAGTATTTATTAATGCAAAAATAATGTAATTCTTAGATAATTCTTTTAAATTTATTCAGCACGTGAGCACGATGTGCCTTCTAAGATTTGCATCTCTCATTTTTTGTTGGGTTTCAGTAATTCATAAAAGAAGTCATCATGTCTATCCGACCAAATTATAGGCCGACTATTGTCAAAAAAAGGACAAAGAAGTTCATTAGGCATCAAAGTGACCGATATGATAAATTGAAGGTATTATAGACATTAATATTTCCGAAATTATATAGTTAATAAGTTACAAGAAATTGTACTTAACATGTCTGAACAATTTAATGACATTTTTGTTGTAGAAGTATTTGAATTTGTTCCTTAGGCTATTTTTATTGCCTAATAAAAATAATGTCAATTTTAATTTTATTATTAATTTATGTTACAATTAATAATAAATAAATAAATAAAAAATTACCATGGAATAAAAATATTTCGTTATAGAAGTTTAAAAATAAATGTTTTTTTGTAGCGTAACTGGCGTAAACCTAAGGGTATTGATAACAGAGTTCGCAGGCGTTTTAAGGGCCAATATTTAATGCCTAATATTGGTTACGGAAGCAACAAGAAAACTCGTCATATGCTTCCAACAGGTTTCCGTAAAGTTCTTGTACATAATGTCAAGGTAAATATAACATAAAAAATTGTAAAACGTGTGATTATTTGTATATGATACAGATGTTTGTTAATAACAAATATTCATACATTATTCTAACCGATGGAATATTTTGAAAATATTTTTCAGGAATTAGAGGTACTCATGATGCAAAATCGCAAATTCTGTGCTGAAATTGCCCATGCTGTTAGCAGTAAAAAACGCAAGGCTATTGTCGAACGTGCCCAGCAACTTTCAATTCGCGTCACGAATGCCAACGCACGTCTGCGTTCTGAAGAAAATGAATAAATATTTTTAATTCTTAATAAAATAAGATCTTTTCACTATGTATTCGTATATCAATCAATCACCCTGTTTAACTCTAAACATACGTTTTTATAAAAGGAACTGAAGAGAGACAATATTACATACAGCGACGTATAAACAAAATTTTGCAATCCTTTTAATACATTGTTTTTATATGGCATATACACGTATTTATAATTATAAATAGTTACATGAATGAAATAGATTAATATTATGTTACATTACTAATATTTTTCAATTATTGGATTAAAGCTTATGCAAAAATATTACGATTGCGGAAAGATAATACAAAAAAAATAATAATTTCTAAATTTCTAAGTATATAATACAGAAATTCGATAGGCGCAATGCAAATTACGAAGAAGCCTTGATTAACGCGATTAAAGCAATGTAAAAGAATAGACAATAAATATTACAAAGTATCAGGAACTACTGTGAATACAACGAATAAATGATTGCAGCTATGCGGTCAGAAATCTGCGGTTTTATTATTAACTATAATTACGGTTATGCGCTCGCATTAAAGCTTCCACAATAACCGTGCTTCCATTTCTACTTTTAAAAGATGCAATCGGGAACGTGGTGTATAAAACCTGGCGATGCTGTAACGTTGAGTTATTTTAGTTTTGAACACTAGAAGATTAGGACGATCTGCCAATGATTCGAAAGGTTTGTGTGATATTATTACGAATAAAAAAAAAATCTTTTTTACGTCGATGTTTTAAACCTTTTTTTCTTGTTTTTAAATTGTGCTTTTTTTCGGCGAATAATTTAGTAAATTTAATCGTGTGTGTACGTTTTTGAAATTGTTCCTTGTTTCATAGGTATTATTATTAGCAATGATGCTGATAGGAATTCGAGGTGAACCTCAAGGACCTTCTTATCTTCCTCCAAGCGTATCTCGTCCTCCTGGTGGTGCACCTGGTGGAACAGGACATCCAGATGAATGGGCTGGGGTAATAAGATAAATCGTACATTTATCAATTATATTATATATTAATTTTTGTTTAAATAAATGATATTATTTTCTACACAATTATAATTAATTTTTGTATACAATTTTAATATAAAAATTGAATAATTATTTAAATATAATATTCAGTCAATTTTCGTGTTAATCTAAAATCAAACAGTTCCTCAAATGTTTCATCTCACAATAATAAATCAAAATAATCAATAAAAAAAATCTCACACATATTTTTACACAAACAAATTAATAATTTTTAATGCAATTTAATTTAATCGTTCGTTGAAATTTCGTATATTTTTTGAACTAAAATTTTCAATTATTTTCTTTACGGTTTTCTTTTATCAGGATCCAGCAAATTACGAGTTTTCATACGAAGTGCAGGATGCTGTTGCTGGTTTAGATTTTGGTCATCGTGAAAATCGAAAGGATCAGGAAGCAACTGGTACATATCATGTTCTTCTTCCCGATGGTAGAACACAAATAGTTGATTACGTTGCTGATAACGCTGGTTATCGACCAAATGTACGATACGAGGGAACAGCAACTTATCCAGCACCGTCACCATCTGCTGGTACTGGCGGGGACGATGGTTATAGATATTAAATAATATAAGTATTAGAAAGAATTACTTCGAATTTAATTCAATTAAAAATTAATTTTTTATTGGTTGATATGTTAAATTGAAGTTTGTGGTATTACGTTGATGGTATCAGCGATTTAAAAAAAAAAATGTTGACAACTCCATTATTATTTCTGTTATAATTGTTTGTGTTATAAGTTTTGTAATAAATTTATTAAATATTATACGCTTCGTAAAAATTGATTAGAAAAATGATTAGAAATAAATGTTATATCGAATGAATTGTTTATAAATTAAAATGTAGCGACTCATGTATGTATAACATATTTTATGACGTATGTACGTAATTGTACTCGGAATATTGATAAGTCAAAAAGTTGCTACTAATTTCAAGGGATAGATATACTGATAAATGTTGAATATTGTGGTTATATGTATTTTCTGATTAAAGAAATGTCGATAGCTTATAATTAAAAATAATAAAAATTAACATTTGTCATACGTAGAATTTATTAAGAGCCATATCTAACATTAAGACAGAATTTTACGATCTAATAAACAAGAAAATGGATGTACCCAAAGTATCGGAGATTACAAACGTTTTAGAATTTAAAGAAGATGTTAAGAAAGAGAATCCATTGTCTATGTTTAAATTAGATAAGGTTTGATCAAATATATGATATCAATAATATAGAACTCGCATATAATATATCAATCATTTAATTTGTACGATCATGCGTTAATTAAATCCAATTAATTATGATCATTGTGTTATAATTAAAATAAAATAAATTCAATTTTTTTCCAAGATTGCTATGAGAAAAGTTCAAGATGTGATCGAGGAAGCCTCCAAGAAGGCAAAAACTTTTCGTTACGACGATATCCTTGCGTTTCGTCCTATCATAATAAAAGAATGCGATTTAGGCGTATCAGAAAATACTTGTTTCGTGAAAATGAAACAATATGCTCAAAAAATGTCTACGCTTGGTCTCCTAGATGTTAGTTAAACCAGATTTATCTTTAAAATCTATAATTTTAATTAAATTTGTTCTATTTTTTACTAAATAAATTCAACATCAAAGTTATTCAAATTTATAGAATTGGGAGAAACGTATAAGAATGTTGGTAACACCTAAACTTCAAGAAAAATATAAAGACATTTTCGAAGAACACATAAACGAAGTGAAGGATCAATATTATCAAGACATACACAATATGTCTGTTAATTCCGTGATCGCTATTGAATGTCAAGAATCTTGTAACATTTTGGATTATACGCTCTCAGCACCATTTAAACTTCTCGATCCACCAGAATTTTCTACTATTTATCAAAAACGTCGTTACGACTTTGCTAAGAGATATTATTTTCCTCATAAATTTATGAGAAATATTGTTGCTAGAGCTTACACGGTATTCGGTGGTAATTCTATATGCGATTTTCGACGTTATAGAAAGATCGGTATTCTTGATTTAAACAGGTATTCTATCATGTTTTTATTAATAATTCCAAATCCGACGCAAATTAACAATATAAAATAAAGTTCACTTAAAACTTTCAATTTTATTGATACTAGTAGTAAATTTGTTTAAAAGACTTTAATATTAATAAAGTTGCAGTTTTTGGTAATAAATTAATGTTGATTATTTAGATATAAAATAGTGAAAGTCTCAACATTTTGTTATTTATTAAATTAATTATTATTCTTGTTTCGTATTACAACAGACTTTTGGATTTATTGGATGCAGATTTAAAGAGAGGTACTCTTCTTATAACCAATTCGTATTACGGTAGCGTGATTAGAAACCTTTCCCATTCACGTTATCTTTACGACGTTCCATTGGCTATGACCAATGATTTTTTTCGATGTGCTACAAATTTATTATCACTTCAAATAATTGCTTGTATGATGAATACCATAGAGGAATGGCTAACAGTATTGGACAATTGTTTTACGGCACCTTTAATAAAGGTATAAGTAATCATAATGAAGAGTACATCGTTTCGAAAATATTTTTAATATTTTCCAACCAACAGCTAGAATTAAAATGTGAAAGAAATCAATTATTCGTCTACCCGTCAGTCAATGAAATTTATCATTCATTTCACTTTATTATCAACGAAATTGCTAATGCTGCACAAGAATTACCACCTTTGGAATCTTGGATCGGTATGAAAACTACTCACCAAGTGATCTCGGTCAAGTTACCACAATGGTACTTGGATGAAGTGGACGAAAGAATTGAACAAATAATTACAAATTTATATCAACCTGTTACCGATTACATCGAACAATTACAAGAAAAGTTTGGCGTTGCTTATGATATCAAAACTCGAAAAAAAGTCATTTCTTACGTTGCTGGAAAACATACTTTTGAGGAGAGCGTTGAAAAAGTTGAAGATTTTAATCGTTTAGTTAGAGAAATTAATGGATTGGTACGTAAAGATAAATAAAAGATGTCCCATGTAATAGGAAATTGTGTTACAAATTGTTTTTTCATTCTATATTAAAAGATTTGGAATTTTTAAACAAATATTTATAGAGATTAAATTTAGAAGAAAGAAAAAAAACAATTATTAACACTTTATGTAGGACATCCTGCATATTGGTATTTATGTTTAATTCATTAAGCAAAATTCATTGGAGAAAACGTTATTCATATTTCTAGCCTAATATAGAATATTTTTTGATGGCAATATTACATCAATCAGACGGCAAAATTGCACTTATGTCATATGTTCAATCAGGACGTGAATTAATAATCAACGAATTGATAAAACGTCATCGAAATTATAATCTCGAAATATGTAAAGTGTTCGAAACATTGAAAGAAAAGGCACTTAATGTACCCAAAACAACGAGGGAACTTCTCGAATTAGGTTTGTCATTTTTATCGAGAAAATTACTAATATTATAGGGCTCCAAAATTTTAGTGTATTTTCATTTAGTTTATATATAATTATTTCTTTATGTTATAGGTAAATACATGATAGTAGCCGTAAGTACAACGATGGAAGAGATGAACGATAGGATTACATTATCGTTAAACATGATGGCATCCTTGATCGAAATGACGAGCTTGAGTGTTGATCATATTGATTTAAACAATACCACTGTCAATTGGTTGAAAAAGATAAGACCAATTTTTAAACATAGTAGCAGTATGTACGAACAAATGAAATTCGAATTGGAAGAGAATTTGCAAAGTAAAGTGTTGGCATTGAATACTAAAGTTGAAAAGATGTTTCCAAGGTAAATTCTGTTTTTTTTATTTTTTTTTACATGTTTTAGTATGATTCAATCACATTTAACAACATAGTTACTTGTAGATTAACGATCATGAACGATATGGATGACGCTAAACGCGTTACAGAATATATTGAAGATATTAGAAAATTGATAAGAGGTTTGGATCGAATGGATGAACAAGCAGAATGGATTAACCATGAAGAAGCTCTTTTTAATTTTCCACTTACTCAATATCACTTAATTAACGAATTAAAGGACATTATAATGCCCTTTTACGAGATTATTTATCAATCTTGCAAATGGCAAAGATTTCGGGATGTTTGTTTGGATGGACCCTTCGAATATCTCGATGGATATGAAGTCGATGCCAAATGTAACGAGTTCTTTGCTAATTTTACCAAAATGAGCAAACAATACAGAACAAAAATCAAATTACAACTAGCGACGAATTATCCTTACAGGTTTTTCTTTTATCACTTGTTTTATTTTTTTTATAGTTTTGCAAAATTTCGAGATTTGTTTTAAATTTTAATTGGTATATCAGTTTTACAGGTTTGATTGATGATCCAGATCCTTATCAACAACCGGTTCCTATAAAACTTTCGTATCAAATTATCGAAAATATCAAATGGTTCAAAGTAATTAAAAAGAAAAATATATAATAATATTACTGTCTCAATAAAATAAATAATATTTTTAGGTATACGTTCCACTTGTGATAGTTTTTTGTAATCCTGCGCTTCGACAACATCATTGGGATGAAATGTCAATCATCGCAGGTTTTGATCTTACACCAAATGCTGGGACAACTTTACGAAAAATGATAAACATGGATTTGTTAGAAAACTTAGACAAGTAGTTATTTATTATTAATGATTAATTATTTTAATCAATTATATGTTTATTTGTCATGTTAATGTTTATCTATAACACTTTAATTAGTAATTAATATTTAATATATAAATAATAGTTAGGAGAATTTGTAAAATAATAATTTAAATTTGATTTAATTTAAGATACGAGTTAATAAGCGTCAGTGCATCGAAAGAATTGAATCTCGAGCAAACTTTTCATAAAATATTAAAAGAATGGGACGACGTTTTTTTCGAAACAATGCCGCATAAAGATTCTGGCGTTGAAATATTGACCCAGGTAGATAACATACACACAATTTTAGAAGAACATATTGTAAAGATACAAACTATGCGTGGTTCAGCGTTTGTAAAACAGATTAAAAATGAAGTGGAAGATTTTTATCAGAAGTTACTTCGTATAAGAGATACTATCGATGAATGGACAAAGGTTTGTTTATTATTAATTATAAATTTTTACTATTCTTTCTTCTTTAATATTTGTAACAATTATAGGTTCAAGTACAATGGATGTACTTGTTACCAATATTTTCGAGCAAAGATATCGTTGCCCAGTTACCCGACGAAAATGTATTATTTGTTCAAGTCGATGGTATTTTTCGGAATGCTATGCAAGCTGTTAAAAGAGATCACCGTGTTAGGGAAACTGCTGGGAGTGTAAATTATTTAAATATTATTTTTCTTTAATGACAAACCGTAAAAATTGTTTTATCAATTCGTAATAATTAATTTGGTTTTTCAATTACTTAATTTGGATTAAGTTGCTGTTTAATTTATTGTTAAACCATTTTTATAATCATTGGTTTATTTCGTAAACCATATATATAATACAAGTTCTATCTGTAATATCTAAAAATGTTAAAAACTTTCTATTTTTTTTTTATTAGGTCGGTTTATTAGAAGTTATGAGAGAAGCTAATAGTTTGATGGAAACGGTTAACGATGGTATATATAATTATCTAGAGAAAAAAAGACTCTTCTTTCCACGTTTCTTCTTCCTGAGTAACGACGATATGCTTGAAATTCTATCAGAGACGAAGGACCCACTTCGGGTACAGCCTCATTTGAAAAAATGTTTTGAAGGAATTAGTAGGCTCGGGTGGGTTTTCATTTACGTAATTTGATAAAATGAAAAATCTTGGCTTCTCTATAATTAGATTTTTTTATCATTATGATCGATAATGATTACCTCATAGATTTAATGAGTCCTTGGAAATTTATTCTATGATCAGCGATGAAAAGGAAGAGATAATGTTGCAAAATCTTATCTCAACTGAAGCTGCACGTGGTTGCGTAGAAAAATGGCTTATTCAGGTAAACTAAAATGCTTCTGTCGAAATATTTCAAATTTTAATAACTGATTTTTTTTATAATAAATTCATATAAATAATTGACAGGTAGAGGAATATATGATAAAATCGATAAGACACGAAATGCTTTTGAGTTATTTGGATTACGATACAAACGAACGTGTGATGTGGGTCCAAATTTGGCCTGGCATGATCGTACTTTGTGTTGCTCAAATTTATTGGTCTATGGAAGTTCAAAGTAGTTTATTGTCGCGTATACCATCAACTTTGAAAGCACTTTATGAAAAATTACAATTACAAATTCTTGACATGGTTAATCTGGTCAAAGGTGTTGATACAATTTTCAAAGAATTATTCAAAACCACGTCTAAATATTATTTTGTAATAACAAACGATTTTTTTTAGGTCAATTAACAAAACAGAATCGTATCACATTGAATGCTCTTATCACGATCGATGTTCACGCTATGGACATAGTTAAAATGCTCGTTGATAAACAAATTATGGACGAGAAAGACTTCGAATGGTTAGCTCAGCTTCGTTATTATTGGGAAGATGATGTATTTGTTAGAATAATACATGCAACTATACCGTATGCTTACGAGTATATTGGAAATACATCACGTCTTGTGATCACGCCGTTAACTGATAGGTAAATTATAATAATTTTGTTGAATTTATTGGAAAGTTCGTGACGATTTATATTTTTTAGTGTACATACGTTTATATCAGAATCGGTACGAACTTTCTGAATAATCCAATTTTTACGTCAAGTAATAGAAAAATTTTCAACGAACAGGTGTTATCGTACTTTGATAGGTGCGTATACTTTGCATTTAAATGGAGGACCCGAAGGTCCTGCGGGTACTGGAAAAACCGAAACAGTGAAGGACCTTAGTAGAGCTCTCGCTGTACAGTGTATAGTTTTTAATTGTTCGGAAGGTCTTGATTATAAAAATATGGGTAAATTTTTCAAAGGCTTAGCAGCCTGTGGCGCTTGGTCGTGTTTCGATGAATTCAATCGAATTGAATTGGAAGTTTTATCAGTGGTAGCACAACAAATCCTTTCTATAGTGCAAGCGGTACGAGCGAATGTAGAAAAATTCGTTTTCGAGGGTACAGAATTGCAATTGAATCCTGCCGTTTATATTTGTATCACGATGAATCCTGGATACGCTGGTCGTTCGGAATTACCAGATAATTTAAAAGTTCTCTTCAGAACTGTGGCAATGATGGTACCGGATTATGCTATGATAGCTGAAATTTTTCTTTACTCGTCGGGTTTTAATACGGCTCGTGCATTATCAACTAAGATCGTAGCAACATATAAATTATGTTCAGAACAATTATCAACTCAATCCCATTACGATTACGGTATGCGTGCAGTGAAAAGTGTTTTAACGGCAGCACAAAATATCAAATTGAAATTTCCCGATGAGGACGAAGCGGTACTTTTACTTCGTTCTATTATTGATGTCAATTTACCCAAATTTTTGGCTCATGACATACCATTGTTTCAAGGAATAGTATCTGATCTCTTTCCGGGATTAACTTTGCCAGCTCCAAGTTATGACGTATTACTGTCAGCAGTTCATGAAGTTGCCAAGAAGAGAAATTTACAAACGGTTGATACTTTTCTATTAAAAATCATCCAAACATACGAGATGATGATCGTTCGACATGGTTTCATGTTAGTTGGTGAACCTTTTGGTGGAAAGACATCTATTCTTCATACCTTGGCTGATGCGTTAACTTTGATGCATGAATGGAACGATAAGAATGGTGCCGTAACAAAATACTTTACGATCAATCCTAAATCTATAACATTGGAACAATTGTATGGACACTTCGATCCAGTATCCTCCGAGTGGTCAGACGGTGTATGTGCAGTTGCATTTAGAGAATATTGTATGGAAGAAACTGATCATAGAAAGTGGATTATTTTTGATGGTCCAGTCGATGCCCTTTGGATTGAGAATCTCAATACTGTTCTAGATGATAATAAAAAACTGTGCCTTACATCTGGCGAAATAATGCAAATGTCAAACGTGATGTCGATGATATTCGAAGTTATGGATTTGCTCCATGCATCTCCTGCAACAGTGTCACGTTGTGGAATGATTTATGTTGAACCTCGTGTACTCGGTTGGCAGCCGTTTATCGATTCGTGGATAGCACGTTTGAATCCACAATGGAAAGAGGATCATGAAGATTTCATAAATGAGCTTTTCCAATGGTTGCTAGATCCTTGCTTGGAATTCATTCGTAAAACGTGTCACATGTATGTAAGTGTAAGTCAAATTCATCAGGTTGTATCGATAATGAATCTCATAGAGATGTTCATAGAAACTGCAGTGGAAGATAACCCAAAAACGTATAGTACATATATCGTACCATGGTTACAAGCTGCTATGCTATTAGGAATGGTTTGGGGAGCCGGTGGTACTTTGGATTTTGATTCTCGATGCAAATTCAATGAATTTTATTTAACATTTTGGAAAAAGGAAAACAAAGACTATCCCATGCCCGAAAGTATCGAGGAATCATTAATTTCAATACCAGGAGACGAACTTATTCATGATTATTTTTACACGTTTAAAAGTAAAGGATCATGGAAACGTCTTGCCGAGTTATGTAAATCGGAACGATACGATGATACCCAAACTATTAGCAACATTATGATACCCACCATAGATACGGTTAAATATCAGTTATTATTCTTGATGCATATCAAACATCGCAAACGATTTTTAATACAGGGAGATACTGGTACTGGTAAAAGTTTCTACGTTAAGGACTTGCTGATGAACAAATTGGATGAATCGAAATATTTGCCTAATTTTATCATCTTTACACCGAACACAACAGCTAAGATTACTCAAGAATTAGTATTATCTAAGTTATATAAAAGACAGAGAAACCAATTAGGTCCATTACCGGGTACACAGTGTATAGTATTCATCGATGAAGTTAACATGCCAGCTAAAGAAACTTTCGGTTCTCAATCAGCAATCGAATTGCTTCGTCAATTTTTCGATCATGGTAGCTGGTACGAGCTAAAAAAGCCAGAAAAAATCTGGATTCTCGATACAATGTTTATTTGTGCTATGGCACCACCCGGTGGTAGTAGACAAGAAATTTATCAAAGATTTCTCCGTCATTTCAATCTGTATTCCATCAGTGAATTCTCGACGGAAAGCGTTACTCGAATTTTCACGAATATAGCCTTTATCGGACTCAAACGAAATGGTTTCACGACATCAATTATTCCGATCATAAGCGAATTCGTGAATGCTACTATGGAGTTATACAAAGCAGTTAGCAAGGAATTCAGACCAACTCCGGCTAAACCACATTATTCGTTTAACCTTCGTGACTTTACTCGAGTAATATTAGGTTTTATATTGATAAAAACAAAAAGTGCCGCGTCGAAAAATAACTTAACCAAATTATGGGTCCACGAAATCTTAAGAGTATTTGGTGATCGTTTGATAGACGCAACGGATCATCGTTGGCTATTTGACAAAATAAAAGATACCACACAAAATGTATTAAAAGAATCATTCGATACGGTATTCGATCATCTGCCGAAATTTCAAGGCAAAATAACAGAAGAAAGTTTACGAAGTTTGATCTATAGTAATTTTATGAATATGGAAGCATCAGCGGATGAACGTCTTTACGAGGAAATACTTTCGATAACGGAATATAGAGAAGTAGCTTTGGCTTATCTCGAAGAATACAACAATACTCATAGGAAAAAAATCGACATAGTGATGTTCCGTTATGCTTTGGAACACTTGGCAAGAATTTGTCGAGTACTTACCATTTCTAACGGCAGTTTATTAATGATTGGTGTTAGTGGTTCCGGACGACAATCTTTAACAAAATTAGCATCTAGCATGGCTGGACATGGACTTTTTCAACCAGAAATTGGTAGCGCGTATGGGCTGAACGAATGGAGGGAAGACATTAAAAAGGTTTTAAAGAATTCCGGTGGAGTTGGTAAAAATTTTGTCTTTCTATTTTCTGAAGGACAGATCAAGGAAGAAGCTTTCCTAGCTGATATCGATAGTCTTCTTAATATCGGAGAAGTACCTAATCTTTTCACAATTGAAGAAAAACAAGAGATCATAGAGATGTGTCGATTGGATGCTCAAGGTGGTAATCGTAATTTGGACATATCCGTGCTAGCTGTATTAACATTTTTTATTAATCGTTGCAAAGAAATGTTACACATAATGTTATGCTTCAGTCCAATCGGTGATACTTTCAGAATAAGATTAAGACTTTATCCGAGTTTAGTAAATTGTTGCAACATCGATTGGTTCGAAGTATGGCCCGAGGAAGCACTCGAACAAATAGCACTTCACAATACAGCAAATATCAACGTCGACGAGGACGTTAAAGTTAACGCCGTTACTGCTTGTAAATATTTTCATAATTGTGCCAAGGATATCAGTGATCATTTTTATAAATTATCTGGTAGAATAACTTACATTACTACAGCAAGTTTTCTTGATCTGATGCATACTTACGTCGAATTAATTGACGAGAAACAAAAAGAACTCACTCTGGCAAGGTATCTCTCGTTGATGTGTTACATTGTGTTTTCTATATAATTGCATCAATTTATTATTATATTTTTTTCATGATATTTAGGGATCGATATCTCAATGGTTTGAACAAGTTAGAATTTGCTGCCGAACAGATTCAACGTATGAAAGAGGTTCTTTCGGAATTAAGACCGCAACTCGAATTGTCCGCAAAAGAAACCACAGAAACTATGAAGCAAATAGAAACGGAGAATGTGAGTGTTGAGAAAGCAACGATTTTGGTTAAAAAAGACGAAGATGCAGCCAATGTTCAAGCCAAAATTGCAGAGAACTTAAAGTTGGAATGTGAGGCTGATTTGGCTCAAGCCCTTCCTGCTTTGGACGAAGCAATAGGTTATAACATTTTCATTTCATAGTTTAACATCATCATACACATCATTGTTCATTATAATAATCATTTGTACTAACTGGCGATGATATTGTGTTCTATGAAATGTAGCTGCATTAAATACACTTAAACCTGCTGATATCTCGGTTGTAAAGACGATGAAAAGTCCTCCAGAAGGAGTGAAATTAGTAATGGCTGCAGTGTGCGTTATGATGGGAATACCTCCAGTTAAAATCGATGATCCAATTACTGGACGTAGAATTTTAGATTATTGGACACCCAGTAAACGTTTCTTAGGTGATATGAGGTTTCTCGATACTTTGCGTCAATATGACAAAGACAATATCCCAACTCATATAATGGATGTAAGATATCAATACACAGTAAAATGTTGAAAATTGAAACTAAAGTTTTTGTATTAATACAGGAAATTAAGAAGACATACATGACGGATAAAAATTTCGAGCCAAGAATTGTAGCCAGAGCATCATCAGCTGCTGAGGGTCTTTGCAAATGGGTTCGTGCTATGGTATTGTACGACGAAGTAATCAAAGAAGTTGCACCGAAAAAAGCCAAATTGGCAGCAGCACAAACAGAATACGAAAAGACCATGGCGTTCTTAAACGAAAGACGTCAAATGCTCTCTGATTTGACGGAAAAACTTTATCATCTAAACGAAAGATTGCAAACTACTCTCGCAAAGAAGCTCGAATTGGAAAACGAAGTAATTAAATAACGTTTCCATGATTAATACGATTATACACGATGATAATTTCATCCGTCAGGTTGCTAATTGTAGAAGCAAACTCGTACGTGCCGAAAAACTGATCGATGGTTTAGGAGGGGAAAAAGATCGTTGGTTAGCTGCAGCTGCTAATTTGAAAACAGCTTACGACATGCTTCCAGGAGATATTTTAATTTCTTGCGGAGTTATAGCTTATCTCGGCCCGTTCACGGCTAGTTATCGAACAGAAAATATAGATAAGTGGAAAGTATTTGTACAAAACTTGAACATACCTTGTTCGCCTGACTACAATTTTGTGGAAATATTAGGAACCGAGATAAAAATTAATTCGTGGAATATATTCGGTTTACCTCGAGATCAATTTTCTATAGAAAATGCGATCATCATGGATAATTCTAAGAGATGGAGTTTGTTCATAGATCCACAGAGTCAAGCAAACAAGTGGATTCGTCATATGGAAAAACAAAGCGAATTGGAGATCATCAAAGTAACGGATAAAAATTATATGAATATCATCGAGCAAGCTATTGAATATGGTAGGGTTTTTCTGTTTAAATTGTTTTCATTTATATCGATATTATTTTTTAAAATAGTACTTTTCTTTTTAGGAAAGCCAGTTTTAATAGAAAATATTTTAGAAGATCTCCCAGCACCTCTTGATCCTATTCTCAGGAAAAACATTTATGATGTCGCAGGAGTATGGCATATTACTTTAGGAGAAACTGCCATTGAATATGATTTACGTTTTAGATTATACATCACTACGAAATTACGAAATCCTCATTATCTTCCAGACGTTTTTAATAAAATCACTTTGATTAATTTTGCTTTGACGATCGAGGGATTGGAAGATCAATTATTAGAAATCGTTGTAGCGAAGGAAAGACTGGATTTGCAAGAAAAACGAGAATACTTGATAATCGAAAGTGCTTCGAATAAGAGAGCCTTGAAACAGGTCGAGGATAATATTCTTAAAACATTATCTATAGCTGGTGGTGGTATTTTGGAAGACGAAGAAGCGATCGAAATTTTGGACTCATCTAAAATTCTTTCGATTGATATACTTAAGAAACAGGAAGCTGCAAAAAAGACGGAAAAAACTATCGAAGTTTTTCGTCAAAGTTATCAACCTATCGCGAAATATAGTTCAGCTCTTTATTATACCATTACAGATTTACCAAACATAGATCCTATGTATGAGTTTTCATTGCAATGGTTTATCAATCTTTACGTTGTCTCCATTGATTTGGCAAACAAAAGTAAAGTCTTAGAACGTAGACTTGGATTTTTGAAAAGTACATTCACCTATCATTTATATCAAAATGTTTGTAGATCATTATTTGAGAAAGATAAGGTTAATATAAATGTAGTTATATTCTTTTTAAAACGCATCAACTATATCATAATATACGGTTTGATTATTTTTATTAGATATTATATTCTTTCGTATTGTATTCAACGATTCTATTGTCAAGTAATCAAATAAATAAAGAAGAGTTTCTATTTTTCTTATCTGGTGGTATGGCATTGAAAAAAGTAACACAAAATCCAGCACCCGATTGGCTTCCAGATAAATCGTGGACTGAAATCGATAGAATAGATACTTTACCAAATTTCAAAAATTTTTCACAAAGTTTTATCAAGAATTTAACTAAATGGAAAGCATATTACGATCTATTTAATCCTGAAAAAGAATCTTTACCAGAACCATGGGAAAAAACATTGACTTATTTTCAAAAATTAATTGTTATAAGAATGATCAGACCTGACAAAATTATTATTGCAGTATTTATATATTTACATTTATATTTAAAACGATAATTTTTTTTTTAACTATAGCATTATATATATATTAAAATTCTTAAAATTAAATTAATAATAATAATTTAATTAAAATTCTTTCTCATCAGATACGAGAATTCGTTAAGGATGGATTAGGAATTAAATTTGTAACTCCACCACCATTTGATTTATCCAAATCTTATATGGATTCAACTTGTACAGTTCCACTAATTTTTATTCTATCATCTGGTTCTGATCCGATGGGAGCCTTGACCAACTTTGCCAATAATATGGATTATCTATCGAAATTTTCTACTATCTCATTGGGTCAAGGACAGGGTCCAATAGCGCAAAAATTAATTAGCGATGCTCAACGCGAAGGTTTATGGGTCTGCTTACAAAACTGTCATTTAGCTGTATCTTGGATGCCTGTTCTTGAAAAAATTTGCGAAAGTTTCAATCTGACAAATACTCATACTAAATTTCGTTTATGGTTGACTAGTTATCCTTCTGATAAGTTTCCTATAACAGTTTTACAAAATGGTTTAAAAATGACGAATGAACCACCGACTGGTCTTCAACAAAATATTATGAAGTTAGTTATGATTTCTAAAAATGAAAAAACCAATTAAGTTAACCATTTATTTATTTCTAATTTYCAGATGTTATTTATCCGAAGCTGATAAAGAACCAGATTTTTTCCATACATCACCTCAAAAGAAAAGAAATTATTCAAAATTATTATACGCTTTATGCTTCTTTCATGCACTCATCCAAGAACGAAGAAATTATGGACCTCAAGGGTGGAATATTAAATACGGTAAATTGAAGATATTTCATTACTGATATTGAAAAAGTTTAATCGTGATTTTGTTTATACAGGCTTCGATGATTCTGATCTACAAATATCGGTGCAGCAGCTTCAATTTTATATCGAAGATTACGAACAAGTTCCATTTAAAGCAATCATTTATCTTACGGGTGAATGCAACTACGGTGGAAGAGTTACAGATGAGAGAGACCGTAGATGTTTAAATACTATTTTAGATGACTTTTACAATCCTGATGTAATCACAAATATCAATTATTCGTTCGCCGATATTGGTCCAGAATACATGTTACCTAAAAAGTAATTAAACGTATAAAATAATCGCGTGTCTCGTGATGTTTCAATATTATTAATATGTATAAACAATTGTTTTAGACACGAATATAAAGATTATATTGAACAAATAGAAGGGATTCCCGTTATTACACCACCAGAAGTATTCGGATTGCACATGAATGCAGGAATAACTCGTGATCTTGAAAGTTCTAAGAATTTTTTCGATTCTATGATGTTAATTCAAGGAACCGTCACTGTTGGTGACATTATGAAACAGGATGAATTATTGTTGCTCATGAAAGAAAATATTTATAATAAATTACCAGATCTGTTTGACATAGAAGAGGCTCAAAAATTATATCCAACGATGTATATGGAATCAATGAACACTGTATTGATACAAGAAATGGAAAGATACAATATACTTTTAGCTGAAATGAAAAATTCATTGGTAATGTTAGAAAGAGCTATAAAAGGTCTTATAGTAATGACAGCAGCTTTGGAGGTATATTACATTCTATAAAAATTTCTTCCTATTATTTAATCATCCAATGATGACATATTAAAAATTATTTTTCCTTTTTGTAGATTTTAGGTTCACACATAATTAATGATAAAGTTCCACCTTCTTGGATTAGAGCAAGTGCTTATCCAACATTAAAACCATTGTCAAGTTTTATCGACGATTTCTTAAAACGTTTAGATTTCTTTAAAACATGGTTAATAGAAGGAAAACCAAAGACTTTTTGGATATCCGGATTTTCATTCGTTCATGCATTTTTAACGGCTGCGGCACAAAATTTCGCGAGGAAATATAAAATACCGATTGATAAAATCAATTTTGATTTTCAAGTAATACCTTCTTTTGTGAATTTATCATAATGTTATTAAATTTATTAAATAATATTTATTTTTTAGGTAATGCCATCATACAAATTAGATGAATCTCCAATAGACGGAGTATATGTTTACGGTATGTATTTAGCTGGTGCAAGGTGGGATATGAAAAATATGTTACTTGCTGAAAGTTATCCAAAAGTACTTTGGGAATCTATGTCAATAATATGGTTTAAACCATCCGAAACAATTAATATAATAATTAGAGGACGATACGAATGTCCTTTATATATAACATCTGCTCGGTTTGGAGTGCTAAAAACTACAGGTCATTCTACTAATTATGTATTATCTATACTTCTTGACACCAATAAGGCTGTCAGTCATTGGATTAAAAGAGGTCTAGCTTTATTGTGTCAGCTCGATAATTAAATACCTTCTATATTATTTAATATCGAAAGGAGAGTATTATGTAATGAATAGATAGGATATATTGACGATGCTTTTTATTGTTCCATCATCTACAAGTGTCACTTTGCATTATTTGGCATATATGTGTTTTATTTTTGTTGTTGTGATCTTTCGAGAACATGTTTCTTGAATATATATTTATATATATATGTATAAGGCAAAGCCTCTATTGGCTACTATATTTATAACACACATTACGATTGAATTTGAACTGGATTTTACATTGCATCCACATATATAAAGCTGATTGGATTACCATAATTGATAATCGAAGAAATACAATTCGTAAGTTTAGCCAATAAAGGTAAATTTTATTTGGAATGGATCAAGGTTCTGGTATTTTATTTATACAATTATAATTTTTTGTATACGCTAAGGTATTTAAAAAACAGTTGTCACAATAGTCTATTCTACAAAATTTTCTACGTGATCTACAAGATTTACAATTTTCTTTACAAACTATATTCAATCTGCAAAAATGTATCACAGGCTATTGTTCGTGACTAAAATAAGTATGGTTTATAAGGGCAACGTATATATATATTTTTTAGATATTTCTTTTTTGAACAATTCATAAGAACTATTTAATAATTCCTATTTACAAATAACATAATTAATCGCGTTAAATTATACTGATTATAATGATTACAAACTTATAACAATATAATTTTTTTTTTTTAATAAAATACTAACGATAAGTAGTATTTGCTCTATTTTGCTATGATTAATGCTTGTTTTTGTTACATAATGTATTTATAGATTATCGAGATTTTTGTTGTAAGTCATGTTATCTGCAATACAGCAGCAATACTGAATCAATACTGTAGTTTTTATCGGGGAAAATATAATCATTTTAATTACATTGAAAAGCATAAGCATCTTTTATGCATCTTTTTAAATCGTGTGTGTTTATATTTAATCACATCATTTAACTATGTCAATTTAATTAGATCTTTATCTTGATGTACTCTATAATTGAGTTATTTCGAAGGTACTGAGTATAGATTCATATAATTTTGTTCAAAATAATATTTAATTAGTCACGAATATATCAATATTCAAAATGATTAATAAATATTTCGGTGATCTAAATAACTCACATGTAACGCTATGCTGTTTCATCAATTATATATATTAAATATTATTATTACTATTATTATTAATTAATACTACTGTGTGTCATCTTTTGTATTAATATTTCGCAATTTTACTATACTACATTTATATCATTTTTGTCTATATTTACATAATTGACTAAAAAGCTTCTTTGTCCAACTTGCTGTATAAAAAAACTTTTCTTCCCTAAAGTGCACTCACAAATGTTTATTAATAAAACATTCTACCAATAAATACAACTAGTAATATCAACGAGAAAGGCAACAGTGCTTTAATTTGTGGAAAAATTTCATTATGCAGCAAGAAGCTGAATTAGAAAAAGAAAATCTTATTTAAAAATCTCACTTTTCAAATACAGTAGAATTTTGACTATTCGTATTTAGTCCAAATAAGAAGAATATTATCTAAAAATAAGATTATGCAACTAAATGACTTCATGCAAAATTTTGTTAAATATAATTTATCATTAATTATAAGTACAATGATACTTAAAATTTTCATTACTAACACTACGTATTAAAATAATTTTTAAAATAATCATCGAATAATTAAAATTCTACTGTATATCTATTTAGATAATACATATTTTTGTCTCACAGTCTAATTAAACGTTGCAAAATTATGAACACAGTATTAATAGTAATCTCATATAAGTAAATTTTTATCTTGTGTATAAATTCTGTATAAATATGCCAAAAGCATTATACATTTAAGTATTAAATTTTGCATAGAACTCGAGCTAAGAAAACATAAAAATCTCATAATTATTTTTTGGAAAAATAATAAAGATTTCTATAATATAATAAACTGAAGAGTGTTTTTGTCATGTATAAAATATTGACCACATAATTTTGGTAGGGCAATTTTTCATAAAAGTAAAAAATATACTTTTTTCTTTTTAAACTGTTTTCTTAATAATTGTTTTAGCAACATGGTGGTAAAATAAAATAATGGAATTTTTTAATTGGTATTCCATTTGGATTTCTTTTTCAATTATTATATGTACACAATCATCATTATCATGTTGCTGAATGTAATGTACTTACAGTTATGCTGTAATAATTTATAAAGCGATCAACGTAGATTTGCAAGAACCCCATTTTTCTTGAAGTTTTTGACGCTCTTCAAGATGATGATCCGATAAATTTCTCGCTAATCCCACTTGTCCTGATTTTAATTTCCTCGGGTCTAAATTGGCTCCAAGTGTTTGTACACCTTTAGCAAATTTTGAAAAAGGTGATAAGATATCTTTGGCAGTAGCTGCAACTGGACTTGTGACATCTGTAATGCTACTTTTTATCGATTTCAGGGCCGATTCGCTTTGCGAGGAAGTAATATTCAATGTTAGATCTTGTTCAGATGTTGATCTCTGTTTATCTTGTAATTTATGAATTATTAACAAAGTATTATTCTTTAAGTTGCTTGAATGTGTTTTGCTGTCTACTTTTCCTGTTGATTGACTTATATTTTTTGAAAGACTTAAAGAAGTCGGATGCATTAATCTATCTTTTTCTTCGGTTAAAATATCTGCTACATTTTGAATAGTTATTTCTGGTGTCGTTGCTGTAGTTTTTTGTGGTGAAGCACTAAGAGAACTACCAGATTCACTTTGTGGCATTAGATAAAATTCAGATTTTTTAATGTTAGAAGATAATATATTATCCTTATCTATATTTGTTTGAACTAAATAATTATCAGGATTACTATTATTTACTATATCAGTATCTTTAACGCCCATTATGATTCCAATTGATGGACTATAAGCTTCCATTAAATTTTTGTCATGAGAATAGTTTTTTGTTTGTTCACTACGAATACAAGTCATCTGAATATTTTCATCTTCATCGCTACTGCTGCTAGTATCACCACGTTTCTTGTTAACATTTCCAGAAATATCTCTATTACCAACAGTAAAAGTTGGTTTTAAAGATGTTACAGATTTTCTTGATCTTATACTTTTAGCTAAGTCGATTGGTTTTTTTGTGCTAAAGCTATGGCTTAATTTATTAAGTTTACTGAATTGTTCCGACATATTACTCAGTGCTTTTGTACCTGCAAAATATAATAATTGATGAATTTATTTGTTTAGATAATTATTCGTATTAATAACAGAAACAAACCTGCACTTTTGAGAGCTAATAATTGTGTTTCAGATACATTTCTTGTCAACTCAGGAAATGAGGAAATATCTAAGAGTCCTGTAGAACCTTTAACATTAACTAATTTGCTCTTTCGTTTATCTAATATTACATTCATCGCAATGGGTATTTCTGGTAAGTCAGCTATTTTCATAGCTACTGAAATAGCTTCACAAATTGCTTTTAAGGATTCTATAATAACAATATTTGTTTATTCTCAATAAATTACTATATTATTTTGTTATTAAAAATATATTAAAATATGAAGTATTTTACCTATGCTTTCTTCAACAGTTTTTATTACAACAGCCATGTTGTTAAAAAATCTTAAGTTTGTACTGCGGAACATGTGAAAGTAACCATACTCTGCGCCCATCTTATAGTTAATTCTAATACAATGATAATGTTTGTTTTTAAAAATAGAAACTGTACTTTCTGGTTGGCCAAATTCAATAAGGATTACATCAGAAAGTGGAACTCTTTGGTAGTTTGTAACTTTATCAATTTGGTCGTCATAATCTGCTACATAATAGCTATCTCGAGTTAATATAAGAATAGTATCCATTTCGGTTTCAGTAGGATCCCCAGTTCTAAAAATAATCAATAAAGAAAATATATATCTATTTAAATATATAAATAACCTTGTGAAAAAATATAAAAAATTTGATATATACAAAGGATCAGCGTCAATAAGTCCCCAACTCCCAAGAATAACTTCAGGATCAGGTATCAATAATTTTTTACAATCTTCAATTAATAATTTAACATGAACTGCAGTAGCAGCATTATCTTCTTCTTCTGTACGTTCTTGAAATACTTCTTCGCTAACTGCATTTCCTAACATCATATCAATCGTAGCTTGCCTATAGACATCTTTGAAGCGATTAAGATAATATCTGAAATCATAATATGATTTAAAAAAAAAAAAATTATAATTGTTACAATGATACTTTCATACACAATTTATAATAAGAATTATTGCCATAGGAATAGAAAAATTTCAAATGTTTCAAGGTTTTCTTATGTTAAAGATAGATATGTCGTTTATTAATAATAACTGCCAAATCTAATACTTGCTATAAATGCAAGATTAATCACTAATTATCATGCGGTGTAAGATCCATTATCCACGATGAAACTATGTTTAGCATAACTACAATCATTCATAAAATTCAATTAAATGTGAAATATAAATTGTAGTGTAATGAAATTATTTCTTAAACACATTTTTCACAAACTTTTCGTTTCGACAGAAAACGAACCTTGCTAAATTATACATAGCAGTGGCATAAAGAAATTCAGGATGTGTAGCAAGTTGAAGCTCTATATTTGGTGGTTTCGTAGGAATAAGTTCAAGGCAGCAGTTATCAAGGATGTCTAAATAATGTGACCAATCGTTATTCAGTTGATCAACGTTGATTAGATTTCCTAGCAAAGTGTCTATCGCTGCCTGGCGTAAGTCGTCCATAAAGTGTTGTTGAAAATATCTATTGGAAAATTAAAGGATGTCAGGGATCTACAAAGCACGAAATTAGAAATGTCTAACTGAATCTTGACTGTGGTACTTGATGTGGTAAAAATATCTTATCACCAATCCATAATATCTAATAAACTGAAAATTTCGGTACAAAAGATAATTTATGATATAATTTTGAAACGGCAGATGATAGGATCCAAAAAAAAAGAAATGAAAATGAAAGGTTTTAAATATATGAAAAGTTCATAGCTTTACCTATTAGCAGAGTTCATGCCATCTTTCATTAATCCAGTGAATTTTCTTTCTCCCGTTCTCGTATAATCTCCCTGAAAAATATAGTTAAGTAATATATATATATATATATATATATATATAGTTGAATAGTGGATAATAATAAATTAACAGAATAAATTAAAAACCTTTAAAGCATTTGTCCCAGCATATTGTTTACTGATAATGTCACCATTATTAGCCCAAAGTAATTGGAATGTTTGTTTAATATTTGTAGGTAAAGTTCCATCAGGTGGTATCAAGCCAAGTTTTGAAAATTGCATTTCCATTACAGCTTTGCCAATAGCTGTTTGTACGACATTAGTTCTATCTAAACAATCAATGCAGTTTACACGAAATACTCCTTTCTGCATACATATTGTACCTTCTTTATCGCGCCAACAGTAACTCATATTTGTTAATACTGTATCAAGTGCATTAATCAAGATAGAAACATTTTCAAAATGCATACCACGGCTGTTAAATAAAAATTATAGAAATGTAATAATTAATATAACACATTTAAGAATTTAGTAATATATAAACCTACCAATATTCGTGAAAATCAAAACTTGTATACGTAATATCAGGATGATTGTACTTAAGCACATGATTACTATAAGCCTCCCAAATAATCTTCTCTTTACCTGTTTGCTCAACTAAATTAACAATACATATTGGACCATATAAATCAAGTTCTTCACCAAAATGTTTTTCAAATGTAACTTGTGTCTCTGCTTCATCTAAAGTACGATTATAAGATTATTATTTTATATTACATTAGCATGTATACAAATTTATTAAATTTCTAAATAATTTTGTAAAGTATTATAGTTCTTATCTTTTGAAATACAGACATTTTACCTTTATCTATTCGTGGAGGTGGTTTATATTTATATCCAGGTTGAGACCAATAAACTGGTACACTTCCTCGAACTTGTACAAATGATACCTGATGATCGTGGTACCAAACCAATTGCTCGGTTTCAACATAATTGGCACATTTACCTTCGTCGTCAACACCACGTCTCTTATACCTTTATTATAATCAATATTAGATTGTTAATTTTATTTATTATGATAAACTGTCAGAATAATAATAATAATAATAATAATAATAATAATAATAATAATAATAATAATAAAAAATTACCTAGTGCCAGCACGGAATCTACTCCTCCTTGATATAATAGCTAAATTAAATATTTCATGCTGCGGTTGATCATAGAAGCCTACTTCAACTTTGCATTTTTCTATTTGAATATATCCTTGAATGACTGGTAATATCCAGCAGTCTGCTTTGTCTGTCTAAAAATATAATATTATTTCCAATAATAGTTAATTTAGAACATCTTATATTAAAATATGAAAAAATGTTGATTGTATTAACTTTTAAATTAATTATATCTTGTAACATATGTTTATTCCAAAAAAATCTATCATCTACTCGTTGCCACAAAGGTCTACATTGATTGTTTTTAGTTTCTTCTGTTTCAGCTACGCATAATCGTTGAAGACTATTGGTAATATCTCCAGTTTCACAATAAAAAAAAGAATCGGTCTCTGTAAATATTTTATTTAATTCTTCTAAGATTCTTCTTTCAAATTTTTCTTTATCTTTAACTCCGCTTCGTTTGTTTACTGTAGACTTGACCTAGTAATGAAAAGAAGAAGTTTAGAAATCACATATGATACGTAATATATTAGAATTATTTAATCCTTTTCTCTATTATTACAGCTATGTTTATACCTGTGATGTTGCAAGAGCGGCAGCTTGCTGCGTTGTATTTTTAATAGTATTTGTGGCACTTTTAATAGTACCCCATGTTTTAGCGAATGCAGCTTTCTGCGGTACATCAAATAATCCACTAACTCCCTTTTTCTTTGGTAAATGTTGATGTTTCTTACACGGAAGTAATCCTATCTCCGTGTTATCTGTCCCAATATGCAAGAAAGCGATTGATTTAATTCTATGTACTATATGACCTCCATATAATTCTCCGGCTTCTGAAACTTCTTTTATAAGCATCAAGCGTGGTTCTAATACTGATGGTTGCTCTATTTTTCCTACTATTCCATAAAACATTCCAAGACATTCTAAATCTTTTGGAGACGCCCATTCCCAATCTGTATATAAAATAAGATATATTATTATTATTATTATTATTATTATGGATCAAATTGTTAGTTCTTAAGTTAGGGTTAATTTATTTTTTATATTATATTAATTTATCTTTAATAATATATTTACATTATTTAACATAGCAATAACTTAATTACAAATATTATAAAGTTATGTTAATTACAATATTACTTATATCATAAATAATTTATGTAAAGTAAAAACATGACAATGATCGATCAAAGTGTACACAAAGAAACAAAGAAACGTCAAATTTTATGGTTCGTTGTATTGTCAACCTAGAAGCTTACATTTTTTAAATTTAAGATTATCCAAATGATATGAATATTTATTATTAATATACTTGACTGTTTTAATACGTGGACATTTAATTTTTAATATTCGTTAGAATAAAATTAGGTGGGATAAAAGTATGTGAATGTAGTAGATTCGACAGGAATAAAATTATACATATTTTATTTAATATTTACCAGATTTAGCAGAAAATTGGCCAGTAATTTTGTCGCACCACAAACTATGCCTTTCCTTAACGAAAATAAAATGTGTGTCAGTGCGAAAGAGTTCCATTTTTCAGTCTTTTAAATGACTGATACTTTTTACGAAGCATTTGTGACGTTCCTTCTGTTAGACAAAAAATATGCCTACTGATGACAGCTCGCCATCTTTTTAACCCATCCCACATCAGTTAACTAACCGTCAATGTTACTTCCGTAATTTTCATGTTTTAATGAAACTATATGACAGCTCAAATTACTTTTTCTTCTATTCATAACAGATCGAATACTACTCGCGCTTTCAGATCTTACATTGTACTAGTTAATTTATTGATAGAATTTCAACTGACCAATAGAAACGTAGATTTGTCGAATATTTGCTTATACGCGTGTCATTTATAGAATCGACTAACAATAAATTACGATATACATATACGTTTAAGTACTATAATTGTTTTTATTTCTAACTTTCTAGATAAATGTATGAATTATTTATATACTTTATTATATATATAAAATTATTTTTTTTAAAATGGATATATCACACACACACAATTATTATATTATTATATTTATTATCCTTTCTTTTACGAATTTAAGGAAATTTTTTAACATTTTTCTACAAAAGCTGTCTTACTGTTTTTCAGATTTTTTAAAAAATATTATTAATCATCCAAGAACTAACTATATCAATCATTGTTTAACTTTAGTAATTGAACAGAAACTAAGTTTTTCAATGAAACGAAGCTGTTGACTTACTATATTATTATTATGAGCTAATAGGAAGAATGAAATAATAACATTTGTAATTTTCTGAATAAGATTTTATTTGTTAAGATTTGACGCATTTATTTAGTACCTAGTGCATATATAATGCATAAGTACACGTTATACATCGGAACATGTGAAAATATATATAGTTTTAATAATCCAAGCATGCATTTATGCGAACTGAAACTTTTCCATAAAAGATTTCTAATTCAGCATAATTATGACATTTAATTAGGCTTGGTCTCTCACTTAGATTTTTTACTAAACAGACTTTTAACAAGACATACATTTAGTATACTGTCTTTTCTTTTTATATCTCCTCGGTTACGGTTTTGGATACAAGTCAATTTATTTCCTTATTCTTCTTCTCCATCAGGTTTCAATGAAATGTAAAATCTGATACAAATGAATTAAATGAAAATAAATGAAGATATTTATTCGTCATCGCTCTTCTCTCCTCTTCTATCGTGCGTCTTTTTTGCTTTATATTCTTCCCATTTTCTATGATTTAGGGTCTGAAAGTCATCTACCTTTGCTATTAATTCTAAATATTTAGATAGTTTTAATAGTTCTCTATCTTTGTTCCTAGTTGTATGCGCATGTCTGAAAGGTCTTATTCGCAATCCTGATTGCGGATTCATGATGAAATTTCTTCTTATGTCATCGAACATTATTGTATTCTTTGCTGAAAATTGTTTATATTTTCCCCAAATAATACCCAGAGGTTTAACACCCACTACTCCGTATTTTGGTGTGTGAACAGATATCATGGCAAGAGAATCTAGATGAAATGCTATTTTGTAATTTGGATGATTCGATACACCTAACAGTTTCATCTTCTCGTTAATCCATTTCATGCTGGTTGCTGACCAAATGACTATATCATAATTCTTGTAAGCACGCGTTAAGAATTCATGAAGATATGGGCGCATTAATTCAGCTCCGCTTTCTGCTGTTGATCTATGATCGAAAAGTGTATAGTCTATGTCAAGTACAAGAAGTTTCTTGCCTTCCCTAAGAGGATTCAATTCTGTGATGGTATAATGATCAATTCTCTTTTGTATTTTAGACAAATATACTTCAGCTTTTTCTATTTCTACTTCTTCTTCCTCTATATCTAGATCGTTTACTACGTCTGGCATATTTTCTGGAGCTCGACTCACTTCCGCTATGTCTTCTTCGCGAGAACCCATTAACATTAATTTAAAACCTGGTTTTAATCCTAGCTTTCCTATAATGTCATCATCTTGCGCTGCTTTGCCTGGTAAATATAAAGTTTCTATAGACCTTTGTTGAAACATTTAAAAATATATTAAAAGATTCATTTTGTCAACAATTAACAAACAATTAAACTAAATGAATTTATTTGATAACTATACAAAAAACGAACAATTACAATTGACAAATAAATAAATACAAATCAAAGGACATAAAGTTTATAAAATTTAAAGGATATAACTACAAAATATATAACAGAACATTATAAAGTTGAAACATTGAATATCATTTAAGTACACTCATAGATCTAAAAAACAGTTCAAAACATAACCTTTGAATTTGAGGTTCAACAATTTTTGACGCTCTGGACGGACGCCTGTTTCTTTGTGTATACGATCTTTCATTGTAAGGACTGTATCCGATTCCAAGATATCAAGGATCTCGTACTCTTTTCCGCTCCATTTTACTATGATTTTTATTGCATTTTCCATTGTTGCTTTCTCTAACAAAAGATATAATGCAACTACAAATACAAAACCATATACTGATAACTCCTATCTGACAGGGTAAACAGATAGCAAAAAAATCGCAAGGGTGAGTCGGTGTCTTTATTCAGATTAAAGAGAATTTTGCTATTGCGTATCAGTGACGTTATTCCATTGGTCGAATTTTCAAAATCCATTTTTAAAATATTATCTTTATCATCATCAATTATTTAATTTTTAAAAGAAAAAATCATTCAGCTAGAATATTTTAATCTAAAATGTTTAATTATTATATTTATTACAATAAAAGATATAACAATTAAATGAAGTATTGAACTTACATCATTTCATCTCGACCAATCAGCACTAATCTTTATTCTACTGTAAAGTCATTTCTTTTGTACCGACTTCACGGGTTCGAGAATTACGTTGTTGATTTAAGTTTATTTATAGTAACAGATAAATAATTATTAAAAATTATTTTTATTAAAATCAATTTTTCTTACATAATAAATCATATTATGCAATTGCATTTAAGTAAAACATATTTTGTGGGTCGAAATAAGTATGCAATTTTGTAGTTGGTAAGTTCCTTGGGACGTTGTTAGATGACACTAGTATGACCTCCTGATCTTTTTAACGTTTTGAATATTATTTTAAGTTTATACTTCGAAATGACGCATTTTACTCTTTCAATAATCCAAAAACGTTATGAAAATATTACAACATATTATTACCATCACAATAAGGTATAATTTAAATACAATATTATTCTTACATAGTTATAGTATCACTATAGTACTTGATTATAATATACAATATTTGTATATAGATAAATTATCATTTTGCTTAAGGGTATGATTATTATTTTGCATAAATAATTTATGAACGAATTTCAATCGCGTTAACGATGTAAACTTTATTTAACGAAACTCCTTTTATAATTAGTATTACGATGCAAAATTATGAAAGGACATGACGGCAAAGATGCGTCGTATAATTATGGTTGATTCGTTTCTTTGACGTTGTACACAAATACACTCGTAAAATCATTTTATTTTTATCAAAGTTCAAAAATTATCAAAGAGATTAAGTAAAAAACAGAATTATAGTATAATATAAATTCTTTTTGCAACAAACGTGAAGTTTCTACTTCAAAAATTAATTAAGTTCATTTCATATTTTTAATCGAATAAATTAAAAAAGAAATTAAGTCCTAATGTCATTTTATAAATATATATATATCATTTTATTTCCTTTCTTTTCAGATATTCCATTAAAAAAAGCGCTTTTCCAGCTAGACATATCCACTCGAATTAGTAGCACCTCTCACTTTTAAGTACACACGAGTATGCTAATAATATACTAGTGCATTTTTAATACGACTAGTAATGCAGACGAGTGCATCTAAAGCAATTATGTTTCTACATAATTAGCTATATGACTGCTAAATAAAAAAAAGGTATGACATAATGTTATTACAATAAAAATTTTTGTTGTACATTCAATGTTTTGCGTTTAATCAACAATTTTGTTTTATACAAAAAGAATCCTTTAATAATCTATCATAAATATCTATATTTCTATATCTAAATTTCATATCTATAAATTTGTAATAATTTGAAATAATAATTTAAAACATTCGCCTTTTTTATATAGTACAGATATCAAGATAAATATAAAGCCAAAGTATATTGTTTTGTTCAACATATTGTTGGTTTGATCCAATCGATTGGATCTCTGTAAAGATTTACGCTCGATCGAACAAATGCAGTTGGACGATTCGAATATCGTTTGGTCAAACCTGCCGGAATTGGCACTTGGTAAAGTTTCAAATCTTGGCATTTGCTAGTAGTACTGATCAGAAGAGAGAGAGAGAAAGTTTCCTTATGGACGTGGCTACTTCCGCTCGAAGGAATCATGAAATTCAGCATCTGCGAATCGGAATGACGACAATCGGTTCGCCAATCTTGTACGATAAATCTTTCTTGCCAATATCATGATCTCTTTTACACAAATATTTTAATTATAATAGATATTATCTTTTATTTATTTATTGCACATATTTCTAACTGAATTTTCACTTGAGTTAATCAGAAGATTTGATGTATCTAAATATTGGATGTACGAATAAGATTCAATAATTTTTTCATTTCATTTTATTTGATATTATTTATTTAGGTCAAATAATTTTGTTCTCTTCAATCTGTAGAATTTTTCATTAGATTTTTGGCTCTAGTTCGTTAGTATACCGTATAATTAAACTTTTTTGGGGTTTTCTTTGAAAAAAGTGAGATATGATCGGTCAAAGTTAAGTTAGGACAAAAGGGCATTGTTAAAAGATCAATTATTAGAGAACTTTGTAAGTGACGTTTAAAATATCGTTGCAGGGCTATCATCGGAAGAAATACCTTTGAAACATTTGCTCCTGTTCTTTTTAAATGAAAATTCGATCCCATCGTATCAGACGTATCAATCGAATCAAGCAAGCAGATTTGAATCAATCGACTAGAAATAATCGATCTCTAAAGCTATTTCATTGGACGACAACGAGCTCTCTTCTCTTGTTCGGACACGTTATTTTCCTCCTCTTTATACTTCTCTCTTACTCTCTCCTTTTTTTCTTTTCCTTTTCTATCTCACCTTTTGATTTCTTTGTAAAAACAAAATACCGCACTTATACAAAGAGACCGACGGACACGTCGCGATGACGAGAGAGATACGAGGAAAGAACAAAGTGTGGTTAGGGAATGCTTTCACCTGCAGGACATCCTGTGATTGATGTTACTATTCTAGTATATCCTATACTATTCACGATTCGTTAACTTCCGCGTAATGCATTTTGCAAACATCTTCAATATGATAGGATTTCTCCTGGATTAACAATAACTAAGAATTAAAGAGTAATTCCAATTTTTTTTGGACTATAAGATTGTGTTTCTTGGATATATAAAAATAATATAAAATATGATCAATAATTATTAATATTTATAACTTTATTCTTTTTTTTATGTTTTAAAAGAGTATTGTTTCTTTAACTTTTATCATCTGTCTTTATTTTCTTTCAATCAATTATTTCTAAATCCATTTATTGGAATTCTTTTGTTTCCTCGTTTGTTTGGATAATCGACGATTTATCTACCATAAAATAAGATAAATGTTAAAATAAATTATTAACAGATATTGATTGTACAGATTGATATATTCATCTAATATCTGTCGTTCTTTTTCTTCGATAAAAGATACAGAAGAATTCATTGCGCCCTATTTTTAAATTAAACTTTACCGTTATTATTGTATTTAATTAATTATATCTAAGAAATCTTAAATAATAATAACCTATTTTAAAATTTTCTATGGATTAATTTTGTAAAATGTAGAAGTCATTGATAATCCCGAGCAATAATTTATGCAATACTTTACATTAAAGCTCTTGTTAATTCTATTATTAAATAAATTCTCGCGAATATAAATGATATAATATAAATCAAAACTTAATCCCAAATAAAACGATGGTCGATTATTACGATAATTGGATAAAAATAATAATGAAAGAAGAAAAAGAAAAACACTGTGAAATGGGTAATTAAAATCGATATTTAAAATAAACCCTCTCCCCCATCCTATTACACACAATTAAAAAAAAAAAAAAAGAATAAATTACAATCAAACGAAAGTATCAATCAACGAGAATAAAAAAGAAAAATATTTGTAATCCAAATCACAAATATACCGTTAATATTATGATATAACTGGCAAATAAAGATAATGAAAAGAAAAAACAAAATAAAATAAAATAAAAACAACAAAAATCTGAAATGGGGACCGATTTTGAACCAAACATAATTAAAATTATTTCTTAAAATAAACCCTCTCCCCCATCCTATTACACACAATTAAAAAAAAAAAGAATAAATTACAATCAAACGAAAGTATCAATCAACGAGAATAAAAAAAGAAAAATATCTGTAATCCAAATCACAAATATACCATTAATTGGTAAATAAAGATAAGGAAAAGAAAAAACATAAAACAAAATAAAAACAACAAAAATTTGAAATGGGGACCGATTTTGGTCCAAGCAAATTGAAAGGGTGACTATTTAATATATATATATAGGTTTATATCTACCTTGCTGGTCGCGCATGTACGGAAAGGGATGAAGGAAGGAAGGATCGCGCGCGACGCCGTGGATAGAAGTAGAGTGGAGTAGGAGGAGGAAGAAGAGGAGGAGGAAGAGGTGGAAGAAGAGGTGGAGGATGAAGAGGAGGAGGAGAAAGAAGGGGAGGAGCGTCACGTCGCTACTGCCGCAGCACCGTAACGTGGAAAGTCAGTTCGACGGCGGCGCCGCATCGGACGACGTATACGCTCGAGAGGACTCTCTGTGTGCACGACTTTCTATTATATATACCTATATGTATATATACATACATATATATACTAATTATATATTTATATATATATACATATAGATATACTAACAAATATAAATATATATGTATATATATATGTATATATTATATAAACATATATAAACATATATATACATTATATATATATATATATTAAAAAACATAACAAGAAAAAAAATTCCCCGAATATAAAAAAAAAAGTTAAAAACATAAATAATACAAAAATAGAAGAAAAAATAACTGCAGAGAGAGAAACCACCCTTTTCCCGTTTATATTGTCATCTCTCTCTCTCTCTCTCTCTCTCTCTCTCTTTCTCTACTTCTATCTCTTTCTTTCTTTCCAATTTACGCGCTTTATTATTCTCGATCTTTCTCTGTTTTTATATATATATCTTTCTCTTTTTTTCTTTATTTTTATTTTTCTTCAACACTTTCATCATTGATAAAGGTGTGTGTTTTTGGAGAGAGCATTTCCTAAGGAGAGTCGATCGAGAAATCTCGATATAATTGTTTCTTTCTATACTTTCTATAATTTCTCTCTCTCTCTCTCTCTCTCTCTTTCTCTCTCTACCTACCTATCTCTTTTTCTTGTTCTATCCGTTTATCATTTACGTTTACGTTTGATTCGTTTTTCTCTATTATTATCTTGCACTTTTCTAGAAAATCTTGATCACGATTAAGATAGTTATATCTTGACAAAAAAAATCGACAAGAGAGACACTTTATCATTCGATACGTATTTGGGAATAAAGAAGAAAGAAGAAAGAAAGTCAAAAGAAGAAGAAAAAACTAAGGAAGAGAGTAAAATATAATAAGAAGAGGAAGAATAAGAAAAAGAAGAAGAAGTGGGGAAGGTGAAGAAGAAAAGAAAAAGTAAATAAAAGTTGTTTTTCTTTTCGAGATCGAGAGAGGCTGAATTATCTCGTGACCTTCAAAGTTTATTTTTCCGTGAGACGAGAGGAATCACACATCTAAACAGTTCTAAAAGGAGAGGACTATCGAGAAATATCGCTCAGTATTTATCCTCCTCTGTCGCGTGCAAGATACACCAGTGCCTTCCTATAGTCTCCTCATATATATACATACATATATATATTATTTTCTTTTGTAAAACGCGTGTATCATCGCGTTTATTACGAACGGTGAATTTTTTTCCTTGTTGGTGAGGATCCTCGATAAAGGGGACCATTTTGAGTGAGATCCAAATTAAAGAAGGAAGAAAAAAAAGATAAAGAAGGAGGAAACCTTTGACGATACAACCAATCATCCCTTGAAGACAAAAAGAAAAGGCTAATTTTTTTCGTGTTCGCAAGGATTCCTATTGTGGTTTCTCTCTATTTCTTTTACTCACTCACACTCACATACATATTCTTTCTCTTTCTCTTTCTTGCTCTTTTTCTCGCTCTCTTTCTCTTTCTCTCGCGAAAGCAGATCACAGGAACAACAACTATGTCTTCGTCCTCGAGGATCTTCCCGCCGATTCTCGTCGCAACCCTCGTTCTCTGCGTTGGTGAGTACAATTTAAATTATCTTCCCATTTTTAAATTTATTCTCTCGATGATGATCCATCTTGTAATAAATTAATCTTTTAATTTTTTTTGTTCTCTTATCTTTTAATTGTAAATAATAATTCAACCAGTCGTCGGATGATCTTTTCTATTTTTCTTTCTCATCTTCTTCTTATCGAAATAAACGAATGCATTTAAAAATACGATTTTTTTTTCTTATCTTAATTGTAAATAATAATTCAATCAATCGTCGGGTGATATTTTTTATTTTTTTGTTGTTCTCGAATTTATTTTTTCTTATCGAAATAAACGAATGCATTTAAAAATACGATCATTTAATATTTCTTATTAGATGGCATTCGATTTATTTTCTTTTTTGTCTTCTTCTCGAGTTGAATCGATGATAGAAAAGCAATTGAGAATTGTTCAGAATAATTATCGTAAGTGGGAAGGTATGGGGAGTAGAGACGAGGGCGGTGATGCGCGAAATGAGTTTAAATTGCCCAAAGTAAGAGAGATAGAAAAGAGACCATCCTAGGTGTTGAATAATTTTTAAATTATATTGAATTACACGGGGAATAGAGAACTTTCTTAATGAACATTAATCAATATTAAATTATAGGAAAAATAATTTTTAATATTTCAACACATATATATATATATATATATATATATATATATATAATGAAAGAAAATTATAAATATATAGAATTAAAGAAAAGTGAAGAAAGAAGTGGAAAAATAATGTTTAATATTTTAATGTATAAATTAAAAAAATAATATTTAATATTTCAACATATATATATATATATATGTACTCTTAATTTATCGTATAAAAACATTATTTACCAATGAATAATTTGATGATCATTTAATATTTCGGAATGATTGACATGCACTGTGCATTCCAATATATTTAAAGTAAACAAAGTGGTATACGAGGGTAGCATCAATTAGATATAAAGGCTCCGAAATTATGTATGTGTTAACGAACAACTAGCCTTTCCTAGGTTGTCGGCTAATAACGAGCGAAGGATTGGTGCGAGCGTGTAAACATCAGGTAGTTTCTAATTAAGTTTTCCTTGACATCCAATTAACAAGGAACCATGGTGTGATCCTTCGATATGAGACGACCATTCTCTTCATCTTTTGTCGATGGTTCTTTTTTCTTTTCTTTTTCTTTTTGTTTTCACCAAATGCTTGGACTTGGTCCGATCGTTCGTTCATTCGTTTGTTCGTTCGTACGTTCTTTATCAAATTTGCAAACTGAAACGTCCATCTCGTAGCATCGTTGGCTCGTCCTCGTCACTGTGAAAATTAGATTTCGTGATGGATGGATGGATATCGGGTGAAAACGTACAGGGTTCGTATGAGATAGAAATTGAAAAGGTAAATCTATCCGTAGAAACGTTTGCGTCATGTGTCCTATTATATTTTTCACTTTCTCTCCATCTCTCTCTCTCTTTCTTTCTTTTTATTTTTAATTTTGTTTTCATTATTAGAAATGAAAGCGAGAAAGCGTAAAATTTTTATGATGAAAACTAGCCTGAATATGGAAATCTGGTCGCGTCGCAGCATGCGTGAAGTGTTACTATTATACCTACATTGATGTGTGCACGGTTACGTGTTTTATTTGTCCTTCTTTTTTACGGTATAGGATAGAAAAGATTTGCATAATAGAATTAAAGCGTCATAAAAAACAAATGCCACGAGTATGTACATATACCATCCTACGAAATGGAATCTGTTTTTATTTTTGCATGTATATATACATATATAAATATGTATATGTGTATACGAATTGTGTGTGAAAGGTAGTGACAATGGGGAGGAGAGGGTGGGGTGGGATGGGGATGTGGTGGAGAAAAATTGAGGAAAAATTGTGATAGACGTGAAAGAAATGAAATAAAAAAAAAAAAAAATAAATAAATAAAAATAGCTTTTGGAAGGATTACCGTTAGAACGAGAAAACTTTTCGTAAGAATAGCGTTGAATAGTATCGGTTAAAAAAGAAAAAGGGAAAGGGGAAGGGAGAAAAGGAGAGAATTTGTAAGAAAGAATGAATGCTCTAGATGCGACTAGCATAGAAGAAAGTTTGATGAAAATTTGTGATCGTAATGCGGTTTCTTGTACTATCACGAAACTTTGCTTGTCTAATTCTTTTCCCTTTTTCTCTTTTATTCTTTTCATCTTTTTTCCTTTTTTTTTTTTTTTTAATAAAGGATACAAATCAGCATTCTTCGAATAATACGAAAAGTTTGGAATAATGGGGGAAAAAGATCCGTCTCAACTAAAATATAATTAAATATCTTGACGCATTTTTTTTTTTAGAAAATATTTTTATTTTTATTATCTATTTGAATTATAATAATATTAACGTTTTAAGGACGTTTATCCGGTAAAAGTACTTATTCTAAAAAAAAAAAAAATAAATAAAACGTACAAAGGAATCTTCGTTATACCATGAAATGGAGTACGGCATCGGAATCTCGTTTTTTATTTAACGATTTTCTCTCTTTCTTTTTCTCATTTTCCTCTTTCATAGATAATACGACCTAATTTACTACTTTCATGAACAACGATTATCGTAAGTAATCTCCTTGATCGTATTCAACGATAAATCATTTTTCCCTACCCCCTATATCTCTTTTATTTGTAATATAAAGAGAATACTAGACGGTGGTCTAAATGTTTATTTATTTTTGTTCTTTTTCTTCTTTTCTCTCTTTTCAAAAAAATAATGCTTATGAAATTATAAAACTCGTTTACCGTTATATCGAACATCCATGTGGCCGGTTCGTTCTCTTTAGCGGAGTTAATGGCTTTTACGCGCTATAATCGATCGCAACAACCTATCTTTTTTACCTACTTCTTTCTCTCTCTCTCTTTCTATTTTTCTCTTTTTTTTCTCTCTCTTTCTCTCTATCTTTTTTTCTCCCTACCTCGCATTATCGATCTTGCGCGTTTTTATATACCTCTCTCTCTMTATATATATAGTACTACCTTCTTTGCCCTTATTGTCCTACCATAAAAAGAGCGAGGCGTCAAAGCGTGACGTTAAGGAGAACGTCTCCAACGATTTATCCCTTTCTTCTTCCTTAAACGTCCGTTTTATCGTCCTCCTTCAACAATGGACAATATGAATCTGAAACCCTTAGCTCACGTTACTATTGACTTTACGGGTAATGAATTTCTTTGTTCGTAGTCTGTGTGATTCATCGAAAAATCATATGCTAAAAGAGCTTCAACCTCTCTCTCTTTCTCTCTTTCTCGCTCTTGATGCACTATTTCCGAAGTGCTTTATGTGTATTGCCCCCGTACAATGTGTGCCTGTTTTATCGCTAATATTTTTCTTCACATGAAGGCAATCAGGTAATGGAAGTTTTTGAAAGGATGCCACGATGCCCTTTCCGCACTTCCTTCCTATGTCCACACTTTTCTCATTCTCTAGGTCACTTTTTTCCCTTCCTTTTTATGGCAATATGAATATGAAGCTATCATGATCTTTTCTCTTCTTCTTCTTCTTCTTCTTCTCTCTTTCTCTCTCTTTCTTTCTTTCTTTTTTTATCATTTTCTGAAAATTCTAATCCTGTAGACGTAGTGCCACTTCTCACACTGAAATTATTCATTCATAAGAAAAGCTATAAGATTGTTGTGTCATGTACATGTATATGTGTATATCTTTATGTAGATAAAGTTCTTTTTTATTAGTGTCTTATTTTAAAAAAGTACGTTGAATATGTATTCAGATAAATTCCTGTGACCGTTAAGAAGTTGACGCAATGTGTTCCAATTAGTTAATAATTTATGAAAAGATTTAATGATCATTTTTTATATGATATGGTTATATGAATAATTCCGATATCTCATTATAATATTTGCATACATGTAGCCCCATGTTATACGAAGGATTAAATATCACATCTGTCGTGTTGAAATGAAATTACTCTTATTTGTATTTAAAAAACATTCTAAAGGAATTTGTGTTTAAAATATTGAAATGATTAATTTGATTACAATTATATTATAAATTTTTCGATAATAGTTGGTTCATGGTTTGCGAGAAATTAAATAACGAGTAGAAAGAAAGTAAATGAAGTAAGAAAGAATGGGATTCTGGAGGAAAATAAAAGTTGACCGCAATTTCATAATGGCTCGTTAACAAATGGAGGAGGATGAGGAGGAGAAGGATGAGGAAGGAAAGTTTTCTCCTATTATTTAATAAGCTCTTTAGTGAACAATCTTTTAATTATTGTATAATAGATTTTAAGTGATAGTTGTTTATTTGAGGAGGAAACAAAGATCTTTGATGAACAGTAATCGAGTTGTCGTTGATTAGTTGGATTCGGTGTTTGATGGAATCGGTCCGACGAAAATTAGGATATTATAATTTATGGCTTTGCATTCGTATATCCATCGGCAACGATATATCATTTGAATCTGGACGATAAGCAGCTGCCCCCCAATCTAACTTGGCGCACGTGGTTAACGTTGCTCACATCCACTAACTTGCATATTCTCCAGTAATATATAATACACGTATATATATGTGTATGTATATATATATGTATATATACGATAAATGTTCTATTGTTGGTATGTGAGTATGCGTGCTTGTGAGTTAGTATATGTGTCGATAGGATGGATGATTACGTGCATATGTGTATGAAATATAGTCAATATATATATATACATATACATAAATGCGTAGATACAGTGCGTATTTCACATGTTTCATCATAGATCGCCGTTCTACTGGCATTGTCAAGTCCAACTGAACGTAATGGTTCTTGTTTGAAAGCTATCATCGAATCGGTTTCATCATGAAATGATAGACACAATGTTAGATGAATATTATTAGTATCATCTCGTGGAAACATGATGATAATTCAAATTATTGTTAATGAACCGAAAGTTCGAACGATCATTTCTCAAATTATTTACATTTTTGAGAAGGGGTAAATTTTGTTTTCAATTTTTGTTAATTCCAATAAAATAAAAT